TGCAAGTCTGATGCATGCAGAATACCATCCTCATGTCACGGAGAAGGCAGGTCTTCATAGTGCTATGCCAACCTTCTATTTTTATCTGCTCAGCTCTAAGGAGCACTGTAACTTGCAAATAAGCCACATTCAACACAGCAAAAACAAATCCTTGAGATCCAAAGCAAAGCCTTAGGATCACACTGTTTCACTCAACTAAAAGCTACATTCCTATATGCCCTTAACTGGGAGTAAGCTCCACTTGAACGTAGAGGGGTTTAATTTGAGGGCACAATTCTATGCATACTGAACCAGAAGAGAGTTCTGCAACTGACTGCATTCCCAACCACCCACATAAGCCACTGTATTAAACCTTGATGCTTATTTTTGAGAGTATGCATTTGAGTGCTGGGTGCATCTTTTTGGCCCAAAGGAAGCATGGAGAAAAAAGCATTCGCTTCCCCCACTTCCCTCTTTCATTATGCTTTATGATTGAAAGCATAAAGGCAGGAATCTGTCATGCTCCCCACGAGCCCTCTCGGTTGGGCAGCGGAATATCAAAAATTGAATAATAAATTAGTTAACAAATAAGGCTCCCCCATTTGCTTTAAGAAAAAGTACTAGACACTGCACAGGGAAGGGACATGAAATAGGATGACTGCACGTAACAACACTCTGCGTATCTAGTTTGAGAGAGCAGAATTTAACTCATTTGAGAGAGTGCAGTCTGCCAAGCAGCATCAGCAGGAGCATGTGAAGAGATCCTTGATTATATAGATGAAGGTGCATAGCCTTCCCGCACTCCTCCTCGTCTTGTGGCCAAGACTGACAGCACCTAGCTGCAAGTATCCATTATAATGGCAATCTCCTGAGCCTGTGCAGAGCACCATCTGCCAAGCCAGCAAGGAGGTGGCCTCCCTGAAGTCATACATGTACTCAAGAAGAGCCCTGATGCTGGATTGTACCAGGGTTCCCACGGTGGCCAATCAGCTACCCCAAAAGCAAGCTCACAAGGAGCTCATGAGCGCAATCGCACCTTCCCACCCATATTTTCCAGAGGCTCACTGTGTCTGATCCTGGAAGGGGGGGGTCTCATTTTGCCATGAGAACTTGTGCGCTGTGGTTACCTGGAGACCCAAAGGAAACCTTCTGGCAGAAGATGACCCGCCCCCTGTCCATCTTTCTCAGCCATTACTTTATACAGGCATCCTACCTCTGATGCTGGATGGAGCATCGAGTCATTCAGACTAATCACCATTAACAGCCTTTTTGTCCATGAATTAATCCAACCTCCTGTAACACTGTCTACATTCGTGGAAGTGAAGGGCTGGGTAACCTCTGCCCGCTCAGCGGCAGGATGATTGTGACATCCACGAGCAGCACGCGGGCCCGCAGGGAGGCCCGAGCGAGCGCGGCTAACGCGAAATAGGCACCGCGGTCCCCGACCACGTGCAGGGAACCCTCGGCCGACTTCGCAGGGCCGCCGCGCGCCTTCCGGAGCACGCGAGAAGGCGTGGCCTCCGCGCGGGGCGTGGCCTCCGCGCGCCCCGCCCCCGCCCGCCGGGATTGACAGCTGCCCGCAAGCGGCGCGGGGCCTGGCGCTGCCAAGGCCCGCGGGGCCTGGCGCGGCCCTCGACGCCCTCGGGCGCCGCCGCGTGAGGAGCTGGGAGGGGGCGACCCGCGGGGCGGGGCGGGCGGGCGGGGCGGGCGCTCGACGGGGTCTCCTCACCTGCTGCGCCGCTGCTGCTGCTCCTCCTCCCGCTGCTCCTGACGGGGCTGCTGCCACCTCAGGCGCCGCGTGCAGCACCCGCCCACCCACTTCGCTACGCCCACCAGCAGCCAATCCGGAAGCAGGCGCCGCCCCGCCGGAGGGCGACCGCGCCCTGCCTGCCCCGCTGCGATTGGACGCCGTGCCCGCCAATCCCCCCTCTGCTGCCTGGCGCGCGATAAGGAGAGAATGAAGCGGGCGGGGGTGGAATGAAGGAAAAGAAAAGGGCGGGCCGCGTCAGCCAATGAGAAATCACAGCGCGTCCTTGACGCCAGCCAATCCGAAGGAGGGACAGAGAAAGCGAGGGGGGAGGGGAAAGAAAGCCGTTCTTGAGTCGACCCATCGCAGTGGAAAGACAGGAGGGGAATAAGCGGGATCTATTGATTGGCTAAGGAGCGAAGCTTTTTCGGCCCTTCTCCAACCTTGTGGCTCAGGCCTTGGCTACGCCTCCGTTTCGAGCCAATCAAAACGTTAGGCGGGGTATTGGCTGACCTGGACCAACCGGCGCCTGGGCGGAGTAAGGCGGCCCCCTTGGCGCCCCCCGATAGGCGGGGCTTCAACTTATTTTACCTAATTAATATTCAGCATGACCGGGTGGTGGAGGCGGGGCCTCGGTGGCTTCTGCGCGGGAAAGGGAAAAGCGAGATTCGCGGCTGGCCGGGCGCTTTGGAGAATGGCCACCAATAAGTAAACAGTAGTGTTATTAATATCACTTATTATCCCCATAGGGATTACTTTTATTAGTTATTAATAACGTTAATAATAATGAATGTGCTGAGAGCTTAAGCAATCGTTAGGGATTTAATGTGGTACATTCAGGAACTTGGCGTGAAACGCTGCACATTTAGATAGAAATCCTGTGCATGTTTAAATGGGAGCAGGTCGTGTTTAGACACAAAATAGTGCTCGAGTTCCCAGCTGGAAGTCGGAAGGCCTCTTTCCGAACATGCATAGGATACACCCTTAGTTCACATTTATACGATGATCGTTCCTAATAATAATTAGCAATCATTTCCTCAATTAATCCCTTTATTTATTTATTTGGGATACTTGTATGCAGTCCCATCCGCAAAAGCCTCGGGACGGCTTCCAACAAATAACAATATACAAAAATATAAAGTTGGACACATCCGGGCAAGAAATAAAAGCAATAAATAATTTAACAATTAATTAAAATAACATTTAAATAAAAAGCTCTTGGCCTGGCGCCGAAAAACAAATAACTACTTTTTTTTTCTGCTGTCCTAGGAGTTGGGATTGGAGTTGAAGGTTTTATGTATCAACTCCTCAATTTATGGTACTCCTCAATTTCAACACTTGACTCCTTGATTTATATATCAATTTAGGAAATAAATAAGTTAAGTATTCATTTCCTCTACTGATTGAAAGCACTCCACCTACAAGGCATTCCTTCACTGCCAACCTGAATCGTCAGGCTATTTTAGAACCCTACCCTGTTAAAGCTATAGGCTTTTGATTTTATTTATTAAAGAAATTACAAACATTCAAAAATAAGTTTTAAACAAACTTAGAAAATGAAAACATTGGTCCATTCAGGTAAATTTTTTATCAAATATTATAAGATGTAAAGAGTCTTGGTAGTCCTGTTTGGCCTCCAGCAGATTTCTGATCTTTCTTTAGCCCTTAAAATAGATGGAATGTTTTTGTTGCTGTCTTTCCCATTCACGGCTTCTAACACTTTAGGATGAAAACACTGAAAGTGTCTTTTAAAATGTGATGCCCTTGTAGATGCATTTTTATCTTTTCTTTATCCACAAAAACTAATTTTTGCAACACAGGCTTTTCACAATTAACTCCTATAATACATTGACACATAATATGTCTCATCAGTTGTTGCTGTAAAGTGTTCAAAAACAGCCGACTTTGTTGACACTTTTTTGCCATTGTGATTTTTTCATGGAGTTCTGCTTTCACTAATATATGAACTTAAAATATATTCTGAAACTATAACCTGAAAAAAATAGGTGAAGTAGATTATTATCTGTGAAATAGGAAATCCTAAGATTATTTATATTACAATTTTAATTTATTCAGCGCTGGCACATTATTACCAACTCTGACTCCTGTAACTCAAAGAATTGCGTGTGACTCCACAACTTGGACTCCACAGCCCTGGTTTTAACATGTCAGTTGCTGCATTGCTTTACTGTTTTTTGGGGCATGGGGTTAATGCAAAACCAAAAATATTTCTAACCAGGATTAGAAAATTTCTAAAATAAACGTGCACACACACAAGGCAATTCAGAAAGAGAGGTCTTCAATTCCCAGCATTCTCCAGTCAGCAAGGTTGGCATAAAGGTGCTGGCAGCTGAAGGGCTTGTTTTTCCTTGCGCCCTGCTTTATTTACTAACCAGGTGCCTTTTGTAACCTCCGGAAACGGCACATCTCAGCCTTTTTCCCCGGGTCCCCCTACTCCTGGCTCACATTTTTGAGTTTCCATGGACAGTAGACTCGTTCACTCCTTAAGCGTAACATGAACTGGCGCTTGGGGAAAAGTGGACTCTGGAAGTGACAAAATGCTAGAAAAACCAGGTGCCGCCCAGCAGGAACCCGGTGCCCAGGATCTCTGGGAGACATCACGCTCCTGTCGTGTCGTGCGGGTGAGAACTATCAGAATTACGGCCTCAAGGATGCTGGAGGTAACAGCAATGGCTGCCTGACTGGCAAGCAGGACCTGGCGCAAGTGGCTGGCCCCGTGGCTGGGAGACGGGCCGTCACCCCACAGGTCAGGCAGCCAAGGCTGGGAGGGAGCACAGCCGGTGGCGCTGAGCCGCTTTGCTCCTCTCCCTTCGTGACCCATGGGCAACATTCCTCCAGGATGTCCTGGGGACATGGCGTCCTGTGTATCCTGCACCAGCGGAAGCTAGAATTGCTCTTATGGGCTGGGTTAGCAGGGCTGTGTCACTTTCTCTGGCAACAGGACCCTGGGCAGTGGGGCCTCTTGGCTGGCTGTAACCTGTCCTGCTGCTGTCCAATTTCCCCCGCTTGCCCATTTTTCTCCTTTTAGATTCTGTGTTTCAGTCCCTCCATCCCTATATGCCATCCTTTTAATGAACTTGTTTTGTTCCCCAAGGTTGAGTCTGTCGTGTGCAGAATACAGTCACTGGTCCAGGGTTCGGGGAGCAGAGAATCCCCGAGGGCGTTCCGTTACAGCAAGTTGTTCTTCGAAACCCCCATCTTAAACAACCATGACCATTCCACATGAAAGGAAGACTGATCAGATCCTGAAGAGTTAAAAATGAGGTTCTGCCTTACCGTTCCCATCCTTTATTGTTTTATCAGCTGCAAAAGGGCGGGGGCTTTGCAGGATAATTCCACAGTAACAGCAAGGCCAGGAATACAAAGGCATTGCTATGACTGAGACCAGCATACCCTCATTGACTTTCCCGGTGAGCCGGATACGCGGTCTGATTCAGGCCCGATGAGAGCGCCTGGGATGTCCATGGCTCAATGCAGGATGCTCTCTGGGAATGAGAGGTGTCGCATTTGGTTGGTGAAGGTTGTACTAATGGTGGCCGTGAGGATACCCAGACCTCCTGAGGATTCTGTAAGGCATTCAAGGCATGTCTGGAAGCCCCTCTGCGTTGCACAGGCTGGCGATGGTTCCATTAGCCTGGCTCCCTGGAGGCGGCTGGGCACGTGGCACAGCTGTGAGCAGCTTGACTGGCGCTTCAAGGAACTGTCCTACATGTCTGGGCGGGATGGGAGCTGCTGCGCCATGCCGGGAGCTTTTCTTCTGCCTAAGCCTGCATAGGACTGCACCCCAATTTTTTGCCCGGTGTACCCTTCGTCCTTAGCAGCATAGGGGCAGGCACATGGTGTGGTGGAAATTTGGCTGGTACAGAGGAGTAAGCATTTCGTTTCAGGTCTCCCCCACCCTCCAGCTTTCAACGTACTCTGGATTCGGAACAACCAAAATGTTAGAAATTCAAACCGGGGAGAGAGCAAAACTAGCAGCCTCGCCTGCTCCTATGTCACTGGCTCCTGGTCCATTTCCAGGCCCGTTTAAAAGGCTGGTGCTGAGCTTCAAAGACTGGAAGGAGCCGCTGTCCGCACAGCAACCTGCCTGAACGCCGTGGCCGGGGCTGCAGAACCCCTGCTCAGGGCCACGTCTCGCTCATTTCCCAGCTGCCGAGTGGAGGTTTCTGCACTCCAGAAGAGCGGTGTGCCTTCTCCACAGCTCGACCACCAGTGGAAACAGCTTTAAGCTACCACAGGCTGGCACTTCGGCCTCGCCCCCTCTGCCTTCAGCCGGCCCATGGCTTGCATGCCCTCCTGACCCTGCTGCTCCAAAAGCGAAGCTGCTCTCAGCCCAAGACGTGTGTCTTCTCCCCGCCTCAGACCATCACTGGAGACCTTGCTCCGCAGTGGCTCCTTGGTTCTGAAAGGCCAACCCCAGAGAGGCCTGCTGGACATTCCCCTTCTGTGCTGGCAAAGGCATTTTAATTTGTATAAGCTCTTCTATCCAGGGAGTCATGCTGCAGTCTTTGGGGTTTTCCCCTCTTTGTATTAGAGAAATACAAATCATGATCCTCTTCCTTTTTAGGTCTTAGTCATTTGCACCCATTTAAAACGATCATTTTAGCAGGAGTGCTGCAAAGCAGAGTTTCCTGTGTGTGGATCTTATGATAGTGAGGGAATAAGAGAGAAAAATAACAGCTACATAAATCTGTCTATATTCCCAGGACGTTTCAAGAGGAAACATATTTTTCAAGGGAAAATGTATCAGTCTGGTCCCAAAATGACATTTCTGTGCCAAGCTGGTGTCTCTCATTGTGCATTTGTGACAGAATCCGCCACTTCCCAGCCAGGTCTCCTCCAGCGCTGTTTGGCTGCCACTCCCAGCCGAGTGGGACGGTGTGACTCGGTGTCCTGCAAAAGCAGGCGGTTGCACCCGATGGCCTTCGTGGCCCCTTCCAGCGCCGCCACTCCCAGTGTCCACAGCTGCTCTAGGGTCCCACTTGTCCCTGCCTTAAATCAGCCACGACCAGGAAGCCCCCATAACATCAAGACACCCTCGCCCACTAGAGCCAGCGGAGAGTCCGGCGTGACTGGCTTCTGCCCCCAGCTCCGCAGACAGTGAGCATGCCAGTCGCTGCTCTGATTGCAATTACACAAGCGCAGGCTGTGCTGAAGAAGGGCATGGGGGCTGGAGGTGCGTGGTAAAACTCCCGGAAAGGCAATTCTTTTGAGGAGGGGTGTGAAGACGGGAGGGAAGATAGCGGCACTTGGAGCAGCAAGGCCCTTTCCAGAAGCTGGTGGAGGTGCAACGCGTTGTCTGGAAACCCGGGAGAAACACTGGGGGGAGGCTCCGAAAAACGATCACTGGTCTGCTGCAGCCGAACGCCAGCTGGAGGCGCGGCCGGAGTTCAGTCTGAGGAGAGGGGAGAGGAAAGGAGACGGAGCTGTGCCACCTCCCCGTGCCAAGCATGCTGGCCGGCCCCCCGCTTGGAGAGGGCAAGCGGCAGACCTTCACCCGACCCCCAACGGCCCAGTGCCCAGCCTGCCATTTTTGTGCAAGGCACTGGAGGGGGCAGTCGGGGAAAGATTTGTTCGGTCTGAAGGAAACAAGCGGTGGCTTTCTCCAGTTAGCCTGGCTCCTGACAGAAGCGGCATCCTGATAAGGTTGGAGACTTCCTGCTCAGGGGTCCCGTCAGTCGATGAGGGTCCGGGCTTCCCCGCTCGAACCTCGCGCTGGACTGCCCCCTTAGCTACGGTGCCACGCTGGCTCAACCGCAAGGCTCCCAGGAACAGCTGGGCACATCTGCCTCAGCCGTTCCTCGTCCTGCCGCCTCAAGCACATCACCCGCGGCCTGGCTGGAGAGCGGCGTGTGGCGGGACTTACTTGAGATCAGTGGCCCGGGAAGAGGTAGAACTTCCTGCTCAAGGTGGTCCGGTCCTTGGAGGGCATCTGGCAGGGATTGCTTTCGAAGGCCCACATGACCTGCGGAGAGCAGAGCTCAGGGATGTCCCCGTAAGGCAACGGCCCGGTTAGAGGCGTGCGAAGAGGGAAGGGCTCTGGGCCCGTTCACCCTCGGGGTCTGTGGGAGCCCACGTGTGCCTTGCTGGCAGCCTGGGGAGCGGGGGCTAACAAGGGGCTGGCGAAGCCCCTCGCCTCCCGAGAGGCAGGCACTTGGAGCCGACTTGGGAATAAGCCACCCTGAGTCGGCTGTCGGGCCGCCTTACCTGCTGCCCGGTGCGAGAGGAATTCGAAGGGCTGCTGATGGCCGTGCTGTGAAACAGGCTCCCTGGCCTGACCCAGCAGTGCTTTTCTCAGACTGGGGCTAGTGAAGCTGTTACGTTACGCTGAGCAGACACCTGATCCAAGTAGACCTGTCAGGGCCCAGCAACTTACGCAGGCATCTTTTTGTGGCCCTACCTTCCGGAAAATCTCTTCCAAGTTGCAGTTCCAGGCATGTTTCTTGATCTCCTCAACCAACTGGACGATGAAGATGGAGCCAGTCTGGGGGCTTCTCCAGGACACATTATCTGCAGGAACAAAGTCGGCCTGGGCACGTGAAGCTGCAGCCGTTCATCGCGAGCTTGGCACAGGGCATTCCCCCCCCCCCCCGGGCGGGGATGCTGCATCTGCCAACATCAACCTTGGACGCTGCCATGGCAAAGCGGAAGCCCTGTCTCCAGGTGAGGGACAGGTGGGGGGTGAGCGGTGACTCTTCGCGGCCCTGTTCCCAGGGGCCGAGGCCTGCCCCCTCCCCAGCCCCCGTCTTGCCCCAGAGGTCTGCGCCCTTTGCCCAGGCCCCCCCGCAGGGGTTGGTGGAGGTCCTGTGGCCTACATGAGACACCGCTGGACCGGCAGTGACGCGCCCTTCTGGCTCTCTTCACTTGCTACCCCAGAGCTGGCAGGGGAGGTGGTGGTGGTGATTAATTATTTTTATATAACATTTTTAAGATGAGGGATTTTTTCTTTCAAAGAACTCAAAGTGGCGAACACCATTCTCCTGCTTGCTCTCCATCTTATCCCATGAGCGGAGCCAGCTGGAGCTGGGGGTCAGACTAGATGGCACAGGAGGCCCCCTCGGACTCGCTCTGCTTCTCGGTTTCTAACCCTGTGGGGCAGGCTCACCGAGAGTCCGTGCCCAGCCCAGTCACCCACTGGGCTCCTTGGCTGAGCAGGGACTGGAACCCAGGGCACCGGAGTCCCAGTCCCATGCTCTTAAGCACTAGCCCACACTGGCTCGCTAACCTATCGGTCCACCCAAGGGCTGACACCTGCCCAGCTATGTCTGCCTCCCACGGCCGTCTTACCTGGAGTTGTGGAATACAAGCAGATGAAGTCGCTCTCCACGTGTACTTTCTGAATGGTGTCCTTTTCCAACCCTTCCGGGGCCCCCACCGCACACCTGTGCGATGGAGCACTGGTCGAAGCCGTATCAGCCACAAATATAAACCCCTTATTCTCTGGAAAAGCACAGCAGCGGGTCAGTGGCGGAGGACAAAAGCCCTGCACAGCTCTGCAGTTGCCTCCATGTTCTTTGGAGAGACCACCCACGCCCTTCGCTTGCCCACTGTTTATGGAGAACGCAGAGGGTGTCCCCATTCCTGGATGTTTGGGCCCAATGTTTTCTGCCTTTTTCAGATCTGGACCTTATCAGATGGCATACAAAGGGCAACAGCTGCCCTGCTAGCCTGCCCAGTGTTTTTAAGGGCCGCTGTGCCTTTAATCAAAAGCTTCCTGCTGTGCCCACTGCAGGTATTCCTGTTCAGGGAGACGAGTGTGGGGTCATCCCTTCCTAAGTCCGCTTCTCTTCTCTGCAGGAGAGGGGACTGCGGATTAAAAGCAGGTTCCCTGCACTGCTGCTCACACTCCCGCCGGGGTCCACCTGCCGTTCGCACTCCCACACCTCCGGTCTGACGCCAACAACATACCCCCTCGACAGGCTTGGATGATGATCACTTTGGGTTTTCCCCTGAGGGCCCGGCAGTTCTTGTTGTTGAAGGTGGAGAATACCAGATCGACAGGGAGGATGTCTGGATGCTGCTCGCTGCTCTTGGTGCCGCACAGGCCATCCCGGAGGCCGTGGGACATGAGCACCACGAAGGTGCTGTCTGAGGCCTTGTGCTCCTCCCGGGCAGCGAAGTGCTTCAGACAGTCAGCCATGCCCTGCAATCACGGGCGGGAAATCAATTATCCCCCCAAATAGACCAGGAGCAGTACTAAGGAGAGAAAAGAGTAACCAGAAGTAATAAGAACCCCACAAGCCAAAAAGGCCAATAAAACAAGACTCACCACTTGTTTATGTTATGCTGGGAGGGTTGGTTGTGTGTAGTCTTATGGTTGGCTCCAATCCGTCTCCTTTTTTTGGAGTGATGAGTCTTGTGGTGTTTGCATATTCTGTTGCAGTGGCATCTGAGTTGCAGCCTGAGGCTTGGTCTGTCTTGCCTCGTCTTTTGGGAGGGTTGGTCGGGGTTTTCTTGGTGGTGGTGATGGTTTTGGGCTATGACTTTGGGGTTTTATACTTAGGGCTATGTTCGAGTGACTGTGCGGGGTTATTTGTGGCTCGTAGTGATGTTTTGGGTGTTTCGTTGTTGTATTGGCGTGGGTTGGCGGGTTTGTTGGCGGTGGGTTATGCCTTAATACTGACACTGTTTGTTGTGTTAGAGTTGGTTCGTGGATTGGCTAGTAGGTGTGTTCGTTCTGTGTACAGGGTTGGGTTCTTGTAGTTGAATAAGACAGGACATTCATTTTCACTCCACCAGAGATTCCCGAGCCCAACGAGCTCACGTGAGACCCTACAAAACCCTCAGAAGAAGGATACACGCCCACCGCCAGTCCCCAAAGAGTTTTTAAAAAAGTGGATTGGAAAATGGAAATAAACGATTTAGATCTCATTTTTTTGATAAATTCCTACGGTAAATCAGCTTGTTGTGATGAAGAATAAAGTCCGTTGGACCCGAGCCCTTGGACGAGGGCCACACCCCACTCATCCTGGCCACCGATGGGTGGGCGCTCTTCCCCCTTCGCAATGCCTTCCTCCCATTCTGAGAGACTGAAACGTCTTTCCTAAGACTAGTTACTAGCAGCATGGGGTTAACGCTAAGAACACGCGGGCATCTTTGCTGCTCTGGCCCCATTCACAAGAAAGCAGCCCTCCACAGCTTCAAAACTGAACTGGGTATTGAGGCTGAAATCTGCTCTAATCTGCTAAAGAGCATGAAACAGACCACTTCCCATCTTCCAGTGGGTCTGGAAAGGCACAGTCCCTGCACCCCTTCCTGTGGCTCAGCCTCGGAGCCGTCATCTCCCGAGATGAGGGTGCCTGAACGCCTTTCTTGCCTTTCCAAGCTTGGAGCTGACGGCACACTGCACTTCTGCAGCGCTTCCACACCCCGCAAGACAACCCCTTCCCTCCCGTGGCTGGCAGGAGGCAGCGGGAGCCTTGCCGTGGGAAGCGAAGGGGTGGCTTCAGGGGAGAGCCACGTTCGTGGGGGGGGGGGGGCAGCAGTTCCGGGAGAGGGCAAAGGAAGGGATCTGGAATATTTCAGGCGAGCAGAAAAGACGCCACACTGGCGCTGTTTCTCATGCAGGTGTTCTGCACCTGCGTGCTGGCCAAGATGGAGGCAGAGAGGAGCGCAGCTCGATGTAACATGGGCCACACGGACAGGGCAACTTGTCCTGAATTTCTGCCTGTTGAAAGCAGAGGAGTCCAGCCGGGAAAAAGCGCCGGCAGCTTGACGCGGCGGCGAAGACGGCTGCTTGGTCACGGGGCCAGCCTGGGAAAGGAAGCCCCCCCCCCCCCCCGCCCGGGCCTTCTCTACCTGCGAGCACAGATTGGTCTCCACCTCCACTTTGTAGTCCAACCCTTCCAGGAGCTGCGTCATCTGTGCCAGATCGATCTCGGCCCCATTCCTTCTGGTGCAGTGCTCAAATTCAATGTTGCAGACGATCAGGGCTAAGCGGGTGCGCGCCTTTGGGTCCTTGATAGGGTAGATCTGCTAGGAAACAGCAGGTTTCCTCAGCCAGGCTCACCAAACTCTGGCTGGGAGTCCAAGAGCAGCAGCCCAGTGGAGGGGGCTGAGCTGCTGCCTCGACCGGGACGCAATCTTGGGCAGGTGGCTCTGCAAAGGCACCGCTGGCCAGGACGGCTGCTGGGCGGGGCCTGCCGGGAGCTGTGGGCCGTTCGTCCTGCCGAAGGGTGCGTGGATTTCACCTGAAAAGGACCCGGGGCCCGAGCGCGGCCAAGCGAGGACGGGCTCCGCCACCTGTGGCTGCCTCGCTTTGAAAGAGGCGAGCGGTGGAAGATGTGACGCAGCTTTGCACAACCGTGTCCGGGCTGGGGAGGGACACATCCATCCCCTCCCACAATACTAGCTCCCAGAGGGGCCTCCACGCAGCTGCTGGGTGGGAGATCGGCGCGGGGTTAAAGTACAGTGGGGGGCTTCTTGCCCCGAGGCGTGATTTGGGCAGCTCCGACAGAGGACTGGACCGATGTCCGGAGAGGGCTGCCCAGGGCTGCCGCTCCTGATGGTTAATACCACCTCCAGGATCAGAGGCAGCATGCCCATGTGCCCCAGCTGCTGCGGGGGACTTGGGTGGCAGGGCGCTGCTGCACTCCCCCTTGAGGGTTTCCTGTTGGGGTAGCTGATTGTCCACCACGGAATGGATGGCTGAACTCGATGGGCCCTTGACCGCTGCTGTCCCCGGGGGGCCACAGGAGGCAGCAAGCGCTCGTGTTCCCCTCCCACCAGTCTGCTTCTGAGCGAGCATTTTGTGAGCTGGGGGGAAACCTCTCCCTCCCTCCCTCCCCTGCCTCCCAGCACGCATACCTGCATCGAGGTGGAGAGGAGCGGCTGGCACGCAAGGATGCCCACCCGGCCCACGGTAAAGAGACGGGTCACGGAAAGCCGCCTTCCCCGAGCTGCTGCCTGCCCGATCTGCGGGTGGCAGTGCCAATCAGCCCTCACCCGGGTCTGTGCTGTCTAGGGCTGATGGGAGTGGCAGTCCTCCATTCCTGTGGCGGCAGTGCTGAGCCCTCTGGGGTGCGGGGCTTTGGGATGTTTTCGGGCAGCACCAATGCCAAAACGCAGCCACGGCAACAGTGGCTTCGGAGTATCACCTCACTGCCTTCCTGGCCTTGTATCTTCTGAAACAGCTCCCGTGGACAGAGCACCAGCCCATCTTTGTACTGCAAGGGCTGCTCCTTCCCTGCCAAGGTAATTGCTCTCGGATCGGGGGCTTGGAGTGGCTGGCCAACCAGCGCTCCTGGAACAGAGAGAGGCGTGCAACACGCTGAGCTCTTGCACAGCGTTTGCACGATTAATGGTTGTGCAAGTCAGAAATCAAGGGGCACACGCAGGCAGGCTGCAGGTGCAGGCCGCTTGAGGGCCCTGCTGGATCTGCGGAGGCCGGGGGGGCTGCTCACTCTTCCTGACGCAAACTGACTGAGCGTCGCCCGAGCCCCGGAATGGTCGCGGGTCCCTTGAGCAAGACAGCTGGGTGGACGGGGAGGGAAGAGGCTTCCCTTGCCCTCCTCGTCCTGAACGGACAGGCATCCCCAGAAGGTGTGCCGCACTGGCCACTGCAGGCCCCCCACCGGAACGGTTGCTCAGGTCTGCTTTAGCAGGGTCCAGACAAGGAATCTGCAAGCCGAAGCCCTGAGCCAAGGCTGGCCCGTTGAAAAGCACTCGCTTCCCCGCCCAGGGGCTGAAGCTGCCACGAGAGCGCAAGGTGGCAGCGTGGCAGCTGTGGGACCTCTGAGTGGAGCACAGAAGGGCCACGGCCGGGGCCTGGCCCTCCATCCCATCACTAGCTAAAAGCAGCCCCCGAGAGATGCAGCTGCCGGCAGGAAGGGGGCCCAAGGCTGCCCCGAGCTGCCCCGCGAGGCCCAGCCGCCCCCATGGCCCTGCAGCTCTCCCCGCGGACAGAGTGGGCAGCAGAGGGAGGCAGGGAACTGCAACCCCACCCAGGGAAGCACAGGGGGACGAGGAGCGGAGACGGCGCCCACGCAAGTGGGAGGGCTGCGGCGCTTCAGAGGATGTGCAGCGACGGGAAAATCCTGGGGAAAGCGCTCTTGGCTGGGAGGTCCCCTTCCACGAGGAATCTCCTCGGCTACCGGACAGAGCAGAAATGAACTCAACAGGGCTTTTCCGCGTGACGCTGGCTCGGCCGGTGCTGAGATCACACTGGCCTTTGGGAGCACCTCTCGAGCCAGGGTGGCCCGCCAGGGTGTCGGGCGCTGGGGCGTCGTGCAGGACCAGGCGGGGGGATGCCAGCCCAGGCCGTACGTACCAGAGGGGCAGGCGGAAAAGTCCAGCTTTGCGGCAAAAGGAGCATCCCGGCGTTGGAGCGCCTCGATGAAGAGCTGGCTGGCCTTGGGGCCCTTCCTCTTCACGAGATCGATCAGGGTCCTCGCTTGGTCCTGCTTCTTGGCCTTCTCCCACACCTCGTCTCTTTCCTCCGCGTTGAGGACCTCTTTGCCAAGCAGCTCGTCCAGGAGCCAGCCGATGACATCCTTGCTGGCGCTGCTCACGAAAAGCGTGCGCGCCTCCTGCAACTGCGCGTCTGTAGGGAAACGAGGCACCCGCCACACACGCCGAATTGAGCGGGTGGAAGGCTGGGGGACGGGACGTGGGTGCTGTCCAGCGGCCCAGGCAGGGAACTCGGCCCTGGGGTTGCCGTCGCCTCCCCTGCTTGCACAGGGCTCTCAGGAGGAAGAGATGCCCTGGTCAGGGAGGGGAGGTGTTGGGCTGGATAGAGACTCCCCAGTGAGCTCTACCCAGCCCGCAGACCAGAGCTTTTCTGCATAGCTTATTTTTAAATAAATAAATAGCTCCCCTCACGATCTGCGGCACGCGCAGACCTGGCGTCCCTCCGATGCACCTGGGACCTGCTTCCAAGAAAACGCCTGGTGAGCTGGATTTTAAGCCTGCCTATTTCAAAGGCCACACGTGGCCCCCGAGCGGGCCCGGTCCGGAATGTGGAGTGGAACACCTCCCTGCAGGTGCTCAGGGCGCAGCCTCCGCTCTTGGCCCCAGCTCACCTCTGCAGGGCCGGGCTGCGCCTGAGGACTGGCCACCATCCTGCCTCCCTCGCTCGCTCGCTCGGGGTCGGATGCCCCGGGGGCCCTGCCCCCCTCCCTCCCTCTTGTCCTTGCCACAGAAGGCCCGCCAAGGATCCAGAGGCAGGGCCCCTGTGCCAGACCTTCGAGTGGGGATCGCCAGGAGCCACCCACGCCCTGCAGGAGGAGAGGCGGAGTGGCCGCGTGGGGCACCGGGGGCACCCCCCACGCGCCCGCTGTGTCTGCGCCACTCCTTCCCGTACAACTCGGCTCGGCTCGGGACCGGGGCAGAGCCCATGCCCCAGATGCAGGAGCAGACGACAAATGCCAGCCACCCTCGCCTGGGATGGCAGGGCAGACCCTTGGGTGCCTGTTCTGCACAGCCGTGGGGATCCGGGGAGCGGGGGCTCCTTGCCCGGCACGCGGGGCCTGCTGCAGCCCACCGGGGCTTCCCTTCGGGCAAGGCGGGGAGAGGGGCCTGCCCCCACGGAGCAGGGGGGAAGCGGAGGGGGAGGGACCCCCAGGCGAGCGCAAGGGCAGGCCCAGGCAGCCCCGTGGGGCCCTCCCGCTGCCATCCCGGCCCGGCCCCTCTTCCCTCCGACGCGGCAGGGCGCCTCCGCGCTTGGAGCAGGCCAGCCGGTCCCGGCACCTGGGCGCCTCCAGAGCCGCCGCCGCCGCCGCCGGGAAGAGGCGGCCCTAGCCGGGCCCTCCCCACCGCGCGAAGGCCTGGACGGGCAGCAGCGGCGCCGCGCCTCCGGGCCGGGCGGCGAGAAGGGGCGGCTGCCTGGTCGTGCTCTTACCCGCCATGGCGCGGAGGCTGCGCGGAAAGGCCGCCGCCGCCGCCGCCGGGCGCACGCGAAGGGGACGCGAGGCGCCTCCCGCCGCCGCTCCTGGCCGGGCCCGCGCAGAGGAAGCGGCGGGGCGATCCTCCGGCGGGTGCGGCCGGGCAGGCCCCGCGGCGCTCAGCGCGCTGCCTGCCACGTCCGGGGCGTCTGCGAGCAGGGCCGCGGGAGGCCGGAACGGGGCAGGCCCGGGCTGGCCGTGGGCGCCCCGCTCCGCTCCGCTCGGGGAAGCCGCCGTCCCTCTCGCTCGCAGCACCCCCTGGATCGGCTCCCGTGCGCCTGGCTGCCGACTTCCCTCTCGCGCGCCCCTTTTGCTTCCACTCCCATGCGCCCCTTGCAAACGGCTGCCGCCTCCTCCATCCTCCGGACCGTGTACCCCAGATATCGCGAAAGCCAGAGGGCCCGTCCCACGTTGCTCGCTCTGCCCGCGGCTGGGCAGAGGGGGCGCAGGGGCTCCATTCAGCACCATTTGCCCGACCGGCCCCTTCCTGAACTAGCTCGGGTGGTCCTGGGGTGCCATCCTCCTTCCCTGCTGTCCTCCAGAGACACTAGACTACAAATCCCATCTCCCTCCCCTTGTCTTTTCTAGATACTGTGTTGCTCTTTCTGCCAAAGAGAAAAACAGATGCAAGGAAAATTGTGTCAGGGCAGGACGAGCAAAGCTTTGCCACTCCACGGCTGCTAAAAGTCCGACACTGGAAGAACAGCTTTAGACTTAGGACGGGATTCCTGACCTGAGCAGGAAGCCATGCTGCCGGTCTTGCTTCCCACGTGCACCTCAGCCGTGCGCATGTCCCTGTCCGGAAAGGCCTGTCCTTTGGAGGCTGCCTCTTCAGGGATGCTGCCTGTTTACCTGTCCTGAAGTCTTCCTGTGGAGCGGGGGCACCTCAGGCATGCTCATGCCTTCCTGGAGGCCTTCTTGTGGTGTTGTCTTGAATCCCTATCGTTCATCCTAACGTTCCGTTAGCATCTGGGTGTGTCATCCCCCACCTGATCCCCCGCTCCTCCTCCAAACTGTATGTAGTTGGCAGGTTATAAAAACTCCCTGTACAGCCTCCATCTTTGTAGTCCTTTTGGGGCTGCCTACCTGCGCGTATTTCCTGTATGTCTGGATTAAGCTGTAAACGTTCCTTTGACTGTGTCCCCCCCCGCGAGTGCCCTTTAGGCACCTTTTTCCCGCTTGACAATAGTCATCGAAGTGTCTTCTCACCTGCTGTATGGGGAACGGAAGCTGATGAAAGGGCAGCTTCTGACCAACCCTCCAGACACATGGAGCTGGAACCACTAAATTAGCCACAGCCTTTAAACAGGATGCTTTTGCTTGGCACTGGAAAGGAACTTTGCTGCACAACTGAGTCAGCCAACATGACTCAAGGGCCCGGGCCATCGGGGAGGCCACGGCTGGACAGACGGCCGGCCTGGCGGGGCGGGACCTGAGCACAGGCAGCCAGAAGGGACCATCTTCTTGCCAGCGCACTCAGGATCCCCGCCGCCCTGCTGTGGCCTCTCCAGGGAAGGCCTGCCTGCACAGAGGTAGATCAGCTCTCCAAGGAGGAAGGGCGAGCACAGGGATGGCAGGAGGAGACGCTGCTAGCCCGCCACCCAAAAGCAAGTGCAGAGCGTCAAGAACTCTGCTGGCGGGGGGTGCTGTCTGGGCTGGGGGGCATTCAACAGCTGGCTTTTGTACAGGTGCTGCAGGGCCCTGCCTGTTTCCATCCAGCAAGTCCTTCCTCACGGACACTGAATGGTGGTTTGAAAGACTGTGCAGCCCTCAGTTGAGCAGCTGGGAAGCATCCTGGGTCCGTAAAAGCGGCTTGACCTGTGGAGGCAAGAGACGCGGCTCTGCACAGCACAGCGCGCAGAGTCGCCCCCTGGGGGGCAACATCGCCCTGCGGCTGAACAGGCGCCGGGGCCGGAGGCAGCACCAGCCGGCCGGGTATGCAGCGGGCTTCCCCCCAGCAGCAACACGCAGCCTGGCCAGCCGTCGCCTCGCCGCCGGGAAGGGCTGGAGGGCAGCCACGGTGGGCGGCTGAAGAGCGGGGCAGGGAGAGGGCTGGGTGGGTTGTGGGAACTGGGCAAGGCCAGAGCTGTACAAACCCCGTTTTATTGAACTTTAAATACTGTACAGAGAACGAGGAACACAGTACGAGCCACTTTCAACCGGCATGGAGCTGCTTCCAGAATTTCCGCAGGGAAGTCCCCAGTGCTTCCTGCAGGGTGGGCGCTGGCAGGGGTCCGGTGGCGAGCTCGCCGACTGCTGAGCGGGGGCAGCAGGGCCGAGGAATCCGGGCCACCCAGAGGGCACCCCAGCCCCCTTGGCAGAAGCCATTCAACCAGCTGGGAGAAGCTGCCGTTCCAGGAGGCTGCTTGCAAAGATCTGTCCGGAGGCTCTAGAGCGGGCGGTGCTCAAGGAAGCGGCAAACGGCAGCGAGGAACTGCTGGGGCTGATCGGCATGCACCCAGTGCCCCGCATCAGGAACGTGCTGGACCTCTGCCTCCGGGAAGAGCCGTCCAATCTCCGGGCGGTCCCTGGCACTGAGGAAAGGGAGATGGGTGAGCCGGAAGTGTGGGGCCGGAAGTGGGGGACACACCCCATTTCCCTGCGTTTGCTGGCTCTTGCACAAGGGAGGAACTGTCTAGCAAGGCAGGAGTTCCACATTCAGGCATGGGAGGGGGGAGTGGCCGCAGGTCCCCGCCAGGCCCATGAGGGGAACTTGCTGCTCACGTCCTCCTTTGGGACCGACGGGTGGGATTCGAGCTGCTGGAGACAACGCCGCAGCCCAAACCAACAGCGCAGCGTAGGGGCGACGGTGGAAGCGTAGCCTCCGAATCCATACCGTGGCAAGCTTCGGATACCCCTCTGACCCATGGGCCAAACACAGCCCTGCTCTCAACTAAAACGCCCCACTGAAAGAGTGCCTCTCCTTCCAGCCCTGCCCCTTTCTCTTGGCGCGCCATATCTTTGTGGACTGTGAGCCTCTGCGTGGTGCCTGGCTTGTTTCAGTGACAATATGCAGCCACCCTGGGAGCCTTTTCAGCTGAAGACGGGAGTATAATACTTCAGAAATAGCCAGCTCACTTCTTTGGAGCGGAGGCATGGAAAGGGATTTGGGAGCTGACCAGTTCCATTGAGCTCTGGGCGAACTTTACACGCCTGGGCAACGGCTCACCTGATGTAGCCAGACTGGGAGCCCCCGAGGAAGAGCACCGGCCCCAGGTAGGGTGCCTGGAAGTCAGGGAAGCCCAGGAGTTCATCCAGATGCTGAGAAATGGACTCCAAGTTCACACGCCACGTGAACCTTTCCTCGGCATACACCAGGTTGGTGAGCAGAAACTGCCGGATGGCTGGCTCCTAAACGGAAACAATGGGAGTCTGGGGAGGCCCAGGATCCAAGTGCCCCTGCCCTAGGGCAGGGGTCCCCGACCCCCAGGCCACCGACCAATGCTGGTTCGTGGCCTGCTAGGAACCGGGCCTCACAGCAGGAGGCGAGCGGCGGGCGAGCAAGCAAACCTTCCTATCTGCAGCCGCCCCCCAGTTCCAGCATCACCGCCGGGGAGCAGCTGCAAGTACACAGAAACACAGGAGCGGAGCGAGTCAGAAGGGGTCCCCCAGGCCATCTAGTCTGACCCCGGCTCCAGCCGGCGCCGCTCAGGTTATCATTAGGGACCTTTGGGGTCCTGGGCCTTGAAAGGAGGACGGAGTAGCGGCGGGGGTGGTGGAGCCGGGCGGTGAGTGGCGTGGGGAAGCCGGGGAGGGCACACGCAAGCAGCGAGGGAACCGGGAGGCTGGCGAGGGGGCGACTGCAGGCTAGCAGAGGTGGAGCAGGACCAGGGAGCTGCAAAGCCAGGAGGCCCCATACAGCCACTGCAAGGCCCCTTTGGCTCTTGGGCCTCGAGCGTGATGGTCAATTGTGCAATAATCTCACTGCATTTCACAATGTAATAATAACAGAAACACAGTGCACAATAAATGCAACGTGCTTGAATCATCCCAAAACCACCCCGCCCTGGTCTGTGGAAAACGGGTCTTCCTCAAAACTGGTCACGGGTGCCGAGAAGGCTGGGGACCACAGCCTAGGGCGCCCCAGAGCTGTGCCCCAGAGCAACCGACGCATTCCTTCCGTGCTGAGCAGCAAGGGCTCCTCCGCTGGTGAGGCGCCACGGCAGTCTCCGCCCGCTCCACACACACGCGCTGACCCATGGAATAAGCAGTGTGTATGTGCAGCTCGGAAACAGGGTGAGCCAAAAGGAGCCTCCTGGGCCATCCGGTCTGGCCCCCGGCTCCAGCCAGCTCTGCTCACACAACCCCCGACACGCACTCATCCCGTCTTTCTTGTACGCCCTCCCCGACGGGGCCTCCACCGCCTCCCTCGGAAGCCCACTCCACGACCTCGGGGCCCCAACCAACAGGAAGGACGTCCGGACATCCAACCGGAAGACCCGTCCCTTTGGCTTTGTCATGGGACTTTGCTTCTGGCTCGTCCAGCCTGGGTGGGCAGCCTCACCTGAATGGCCGGTTGCAGCTGCTCCTCTGCCAGCCGCCGTGCTGTGGAGCGAGGGATGCCGCTGGGGATGTCCACGGCCCTCAGGGCAGCGATGAAGCTGTGGAAGCGGGTGATGCCTGCCGTCCTGCTGGGGCCGATGTCAACGCACACCAGGCGCTCCACCAGCTCTGGCTGGGAGGCAGAGAGAAGCCAGACCAGGTCAGAGGAAAGCAAGCTGTCCCCGGAACCAGAGCGGGCGTCCGCCTCCTCCCCGGGACAGCCGGAGGGCACGGAATAGGTGCGTGGGAGCACCCGGGCTGGGCTGCTCAAAAGGAGCCGCCCCCCTGCCCCCTAAACCCGAGTTAGCATGGCCCACAGAGCTGAAGGCACTCTGCGCCCACTCAGAGGCATGCCCTTCCAGTGACGGTGCACCTGCTGTCTGAGCACTGGCTGCCCATCAGATGTGCTGGACTGGAAAGGCTGCGCCAGCACGAGGAACCCTGCGGCTATGCCCAGAAGGGCCCAGGTCCGACGGTGCACCTACCCACGTCAGTGCGAGCGCCATGGCCGTCTTGCCGCCCATGCTGTGCCCAACCAAGACACACCTGCTGAGACGCAGCTGGCGCAGGAGGAGCTGGACGTCTCCACTCATCGCTTCGTAGCTCATGCTCGGGCTGTGGGGGCTGTCGCCGTGGTTACGGGCATCCACCGTCAGCACCTAACTGGGCGGGAGAGGCGGGATGGCGGCGGGCTGGCAGGGCAGGCCTTCCGGACCCCCAGTGGATGCTGAAGTCAGAGCACAGAACCTCTTCCCGTCCATGGGCTGTGCCCCATTTTGGAGAAGTTCTGGGGGGCGCATGGCATGGGGGGTGAGGCAAAAGGGGGGAAGCCAACATGCCGAGGGTGCCACCACAATGTTGCTCAACGCTGGAAACCGCGCTGGCGTGCTGAGCAGCTTTTGATTAAAAGGAAGCGTGCAGGGGGTGGGGGGACTGCACAAATGCCGGGAACACGCCACTGGGCCAGGAATGTTGCCCCAAGCACCTGTGACCCTCCCTATGTGGCTGGACTACAACTCCAGTACCACTGGCCATGCCGGCTGGCCTGATGGGAGATGGGGCCCAACAGCACAAGAGCCACAGGTCCTCTTCTGCCCCAAAGGCCCTGCTGCTTCCTTCGTGCAGTCGGGACCTTTGGTCAGGACATTTAACGGGACAGGCGGGCCTGCCCCTTGCCATGCAGATGCACCGAACTCTGCGGAGATCAAGGTGACATGCCCTCCTCCACCCACAGCCCAGGGCACGAAAGCGCAAGCTCCTAGCACAAGGAGAGCGGTGGGCTGAACCCGCGGCCTTCAGGCGCAGCACCGCCTCACAGGGTTGCTCCAGGAGTCTGCACAGAACAAAGGCGGCAGAAGCACGTGCAGGCTGCTGAAGGTTTGCATGCGACCGGCTGCAGAGTCTTCCCCACCAGCTGAGCGATTCCTCGCCCGCCTGGGTCAGAGAGGCAGGCCAGCCAGGCTGTTACGTGGATCCCGATTCACCTTCCCCAGTCACACACCTCCTACATCCCTCTCTTACCCCACCCGCAAATGGCCCTTTTGGTGCTGATGTTCCAACCAGCAGGTCATCTTTCACCCCATGCTGACTCACCCACCTTGCGCCCAGTTTGGAGCACCAACTTTTTGGCCAGGGATGAGAAGTTGGATTTGCTTCCGAAAAGTCCGTGCAGGAAAACGAGTGGAGGCTGCGGTGATGGCCCGTCGTACACCGAGTAGGAGAGCGGCACAGGCCTGCGGACGAGGAGAGAGAGGGCGAGTGGGGTACAGGCTCCAGGCGCTCCAGCAGCAGAGTAGCACCTGGGAACTGCCGCAGCTGCTGGGGCCTGCTGCAGAACGGCGGCTGTGGACGAGGTGCTGGGCTTCAACGGCCATGTGAGGCCCTCTTAGACACCTGCACGAGCCCGTAAGAGGAGCTCCGTTTCTCCTGACGTGTGATCAAGGCAGAGTAGAAAATCACTCGGCTGAACTGGCGAACTACGAGGTCATCGTCGCAGCTATTTTGTGCTGTACATCCTGCAGGCCCAGTTTCAAAGCACGGGTGGGAACACGCAGGAACGGGCACCCTGAGCAGCTGCACACGGGATGGCTCCTTTGCCCGTCCTTCTCAGCTTCCGCAAGCACCACGGCCTTGTTTCCAGGCCTGTGGCTTTAGCGCCCTGCTGGTGGCCTGCCAGACTCTCACTTGAAGAGTCTGTTATGTAGTCAACACGGCAGTTCTGTGCTCGCATCTTTCCGGCCACATCCTGTCCTGCTCAATTGGGGCTCACTCCCCGGTGAGTTTCAGACTGCAGCCTCAGGCATTAGTTTGCAGAGCTACGATGTTCATATACCGCACCAGCTCTAAAAAGATTCCACTGTTGCAAACAGTAAGAATATATAAAACAGGTAAAAGAATGGCTCAGATCAGCATTTGCTCCATGGCAGTTCAGCAAGGAACAAAGCTGTCTTCAACAAGCGCCGAGACCAACCGTGCTGGTGTCCGCCTGACCCTCCTCCAGAGGCAGGGGCTCCCACGCACGGGGCCCCCCACACTGAGGGATGCTGGCAGGCTCTGGTCAGGCCACAGTTTCATGTAGCCCCACCGGGAGAATGTTCTCAGTGACTGGACAGGTTGGTAAGGGAAGGCTGGCATTTGTGCCGTCTGTTCAGCAGCCCTGGCATTGAAACAAAGCCAAACAAAACTGGGAAATGAAAGGAGCCACGCTCACCCTTCCTTTCAAAAATGGGGATGTTGACACAGCACTCCTCTACAAGGTTGTTTTAAGGCACCATTTCCCGAACGCCTGCCCCAGTGCACGATGGCCGCTCGGACCCAGCTTCATCCAGCGTCTGCTCGTGCGAGATGGAGATGCTGGTGACGCTGCAGGGCAGCTGCTTCTCCCCACCAATTTTGGCATTTCCAAATCCCCTGCTAAGCACAAAGCGGGACCTGAGTGGCAAAGCAGGGATAGGGAATCTGCGGGATAGGGAACCCGCGACCTTCCAAATGCTGCTGGACCACATCTCCCATCCTCCCCTATCACTGGCTGTGGCTGATGGGACTAATAGGTTTATCCCGCCTCTGTGGCAGAGCAGCCTTGTCCCAGCCTGGCACCCTACAAATGCTGCTGGACTACAAGACTTATCATCCCCAGCCAGCATGGCCTAGGCCGGGGTCGGCAACCTTTAACACTCACAGAGCCATTTGGACCTGTTTCCCACACAAAAGAAAACACCGGGAGCCGCAAAACCCTTTTGACATCTAAAATGAAGATAACACTGCATATATCGTTTTTTACCTTAATGCTATGCATGAGAGCCAGTGTGGCGTAGTGGTGAAGAGCGTGGGACTGGGACTCAGATGATCTGGGTTCTAGTCCCCGCTCGGCCATGGAGCCCACTGGGTGACTCTGGGCCAGTCACAGACTCTCAGCCCAACCTACCTCACAGGGTTGTTGTTGTGGGGATAAGATGGAGGAGGAGAATGATGTAAGCTGCCTTGAGCCCTTGGTAGGAAAAAGGCAGGATATAAGTCGAAAAATAAATTAAAAAAAATAAATCTTCATTACGATTTAGCTGCAACTCTTGTTCAGTCACTAAAAACTGTTATTTTTAATCTTACATTATAAACTAGTAGGACTCCTTTCATATATTTTGAATAGGAGAACAGCTTCCTGAAGAGTCCAAGTCAGTGCTAAAGGGCTGCATGCATTAAACAGCAAACCCCATTAAGTTCGTCAGCAGTAAAAGCAAATGAATCTACCCACTTATCATTAAACGTTTGGTTTTCTTCAGAAACTTTTCTTTTCTTCGATTTATCCATGGTTGGCCTATCAGGGGAAATCACAGATATAGGTGTGTTTCGTGACTGATTAGCAGATAAACATTCAAGTGATATGAATTGTAACAGGTCCCAAGCGCAGCTTTTATCATTCAGAGAAAGGAGATTACATTTGGACAAAGAGACTCTTTTCAGCAGCGTTTCATGTAACATGAGAGCCTGCAGGAAGCTTGTTCCACTCTTTCCCTGCACACTAGCAAAGGAATGTCTCAATTTACTTAACCAGCTAGCCGGGCGTTCCTGACTGGATGCCTCATCATCACCTATTGGTATTTTGTAACTCAGAGCCTTGGTCACAGATCAATGGCTGTGCCGGCGTGTGTTTTGAGCGATGGAGCCGCAGCAGAGGGATTCAAGAGCCACGTGCGGCTCCGGAGCCGTGAGTTGCCGACCCCTGGCCTAGGCCATGGGTCCTCAAACTATGGCCCACGGGTCAGCTACAGCCCGTCACGCTCATTTATCTGGCCCACCTCAGAGCTTTTGGAGTCGCCCAGAGAAAACAATCTCAGAGCAAGTCCAAAAGCTCTGAGCTGGCGTAGGTGTTCCTTGAAAAGAGCAGAGAGCCAGCACACGCACCATATTGTAACAGCTCAATTGCACATGCGCTAGCTCCCCCCCCCCCCAACAGCATGCAGATACAGAGCAGGAATACAGAGTGGGAAACAGAAGAGAGAAGGGTGGAAGAGAGAGAGAGACAAAGACACTAAAAAAGGACTGAAGGTAAGAAAACTAACTTTTTAAATCCATTTTTAATTATGTGAGCCATGTTCCCGGGCTGCGGGCCAAGCTGTGGCCCCCTTGCCCTTCTATGGGCAAGCCCCCACCACCATCGAGCGGCTGCCCCCAGGCTTGGCAAGGCGGCTGCGGCTTGCCCAGAGAGGCCATGGTGGACGCCGCGGCTGTCTCTGGGCAAGCCTCCGTCAAGTGGCTGCCATGCTTCTTCCCCCCAGCAGGGAGAGGTGGGAGGCGCCTCACTTGGCCAGCCGTGGCCTCGTCCCTTACCTTGGAAAGAAGCCTTCACATCCCTCCCCGCGGCCCTGTCCCAGCCGGGGGAGCCACCCCGCACTCACCTCTCCAGCCTCCACTCCCACTCCGGCTCTCTCAGAACCCGGGCAGTGGCAAGGACTATAATTTCCATCACGCCAACCAGCATGGCCAATGGACGTTGTAGTCCAACTCATCTGGACAGTACCAGTTTTGGTAAGGTCGCACTTAAAATACGGTAGTCATTCGCTCTGCATCCAAACACGGGCATTGTGCATTGTGGGAATTGTTCTGGGCTGACTTGCGTCACATTACTAAGAGTGGCATTAAGAGTATTTATCCTTAGTATTTTTGCTTCATTCTTTGTAAATGCCAGTCGCAGCCCTCAGCTGCATTATGCAAAATACCGTGTTTAGCGCTTTGGTTGTGTTGCAGCCACGCTCTTCCCCTCCCCATCTTGGGCTGCTGCAGCCCGAGGGAGCCCAGCAAACATTTTTAAAATTAATGTTAATTGCCCTTTAATGTGCAGTGCGCATAAGAACCCGTCCGTTTTTTTTCAAACTATAGTCCGGCCGCCCCTCAGCCTGCGCGAACGGGCCCCTCGTACAAAGCTCGAGGCCCCCGGCCGAGGGGGGCGGGCCTTGCAGACTGACAGGCTGGCTGCCCAATCCTGGGCCGCCCAATCCTGGCTGGCCGCCCGCCCCCTGGACGTCGCTCTCGCCTCTTCGTCTCCATGGCGGCTGCATCCGGGCATTTCCCCCACCCACACCCGCGTTCGGGTGGGCTCTGGGCCCGGCAGCGCGACGAGGGGGATTCTTACATGGCGTGGCTAGCGAGCCCCTTCCTTTCCCGGGCCGGTCCCGAGCGGCGGCGGAGAGGCGCCCGGCAGCAGCGGAGCGACGAAGGCGGCAGGCCGAGCGCACGGAGCATCGCGGTCGCCAAGGAGACACCGGCCGGACGGGTGAGGGCGCGGCTTGGAGGCACTTCCGGGTCGGTCGCCAGGGTGACGGGGCCAGAGGGCGGGCCGGCGGGGAACGCCCGCCTTTTCCGCTTTCAGAGGCGGGGCGCGCGGCCGCCAGGGGGCGCTGCGGGCGCCTCTGCAGCCCAGGGCTGTCGCCGCTCCCGTTTGCTCGCCGTGCCCCCCGCCCTCTGCCTCCACATGCAGGAGGGACGAGGAGCGCCTCTGAGCATATGCAGAGGGCCTGGCTGCGCTGCCAAGGGAGGAGCACTTTGACATGGGGAAGGCATCATTTCCAAGCAGGCTGGAGTGGCTGGTTGCTTTTCCTCGGCTTTTCCTTTGCTCCGTTTTGTGAATATGCGTTTCCCCTATAGGGGAAAGTGGAGCTGAGGCTGTTCTGGTGTAGCCAGGGCCAAACAGAAGCTCAGCGAGCCCTTCGGAAAATCGGAGACCAGCTGTGGCTTTTTGCTCCTGAGAACACTCTTGCCGGGAGAATTGGCAGAGAGTCAGAGCTGTGGCGGCACTGACCAGAAATCTCTGCAGCTGAGTCAGCCTGGGAGCCCCCTTCTCCCACTGAATGCGAGATGGCTCACTTGCATGAGCCAGCTGGAGCTGTTTCGTGGTGCAGCTACTTCTAGCACACAGTGGCGGTCAGCATTGCATCACTGACCTGTGGATGCTGGCTGGCAAATTGCCCGGCACCCCTGGTTGGGGGCTTCCTTCTGCAGTTCTGACTCCCAGCTCCTGAGTCCCCCCAGGCACAGCTCTGCAGCCTCCCATCCCAGGACTGAATTCCAAGATGGGGCCCCATTGTGAAAACTCTGTAGACGGTGCTGTGAGAGTGGGCTTGCCTCCAAGCATTCCACTGCGCTCTTTCGAGAGTCACTGACCGACCCGTGTGCTAAGATCGTTGTCCACCCTTCTGCGAAGGAGTTCAAGGGAGCAAATGCTTCTGTCTTTACAAGCAACCGTGTAAGGTAGGTCAGGCTGAGTAGCAGGAAGTGCCCATGCAGGATTTGTGAATCCAGGTCACTTCCTCTACTGGTCCAGCAGTCTAACTGCAGGAGAGGTTGCTGGAGTCCGACTCCCATAAGCTTCAGCCTGCATGATGGAAGTTGTAGTCCAACAACGACTGGGGGAACCCTGCCTCCCCACCACACCATATGGGCACCTGGCTGATGACAACAGCTCAGGTGGTGCGCCGGGGCTTGGGATCTCTGGCTCAGCCACAGAGCTCACTGGGTGTCTTCAGGCCAGCTACCAATTCTCAGCCAGACCTACCTCACAGGGTTGCTGTGCGGATAAATTTGAGTAGAAGAGGAAGACCTCTGTTGAACTCGCTGTCCTTGGTGTAAACAATGTCCCAGCCTCTTGCATTTTGCCAGGGAAGCCTAGCCTTCCTTCTGGATGCTGCAGAGACCTGTGTTGCCTTTCCTGCCCCGGCCTGTGCCACAGAGGCCCAGCAGCCGGCCAAACTCTTGCCCTTGATGGGCACAGAAGAGTTAACCGGGACCTGGAACACCAGCTGGCTGCCAGCCAGGTCTCTCACACCTGTCCCAGTATCGGTCATGTGCCCCTGGGTGTGGCGGCCACACAGCCCCACGCTTCCTTCTCAGCCGAGCAGCGCCGAGCAGTCCTGCGCTCTCCCTAACCCTTCACTGTTGCCAAGACCGTGTTAGACTTCTGGGTCGCCTGTGGCCAGAGCTCTCTGGGCAGGTCGCAGAGGTTTAAGTCACCCGCCTGAATTCCCCCCAGGCCCAGCCCTGCTTCACTTCCCAGGCGAGGCAGGATCAGCCACTGCAGACAGTTGCCAAGTGGGGCAGTCGTTCCGGTTGTGCTGGGCGACCGTTGGGCCGCACTGCTGCTTGGGCGCCGAGATCAGTGTGGGATCGCTATGATTTCTGGAAGCTGTTCTTCAGAAGGCAGCTCCTCTGTGCAGCGATCATAACCTAGCAATTGCTCAGGCCACTTGGTTTGAAAAGCAAATCAGACTTGGTGCCCCTGAATGGGCGCTGTGTAAGGCCAGGTCAGAGACGGCTTCTTACAGGGACGAAGGGGAGGCCATGCTGGATTGGGCCCCAGCCCCCCGGTCCATCCTTCACGCAGCAGCCAACACGATGCTCCAGCTGGAGAACATGCATGCAAGGGCGGCCTCCGCCCGCCTCCTCCGGCGACTGGCGTACGGAGAGACAGCAGCACACCGCCGCTGCTAGCCACAAGGACCAGTGGCGTGCATGTGCGTGGCGGCCCACCGGCCACCCCCAGAAAAGGCACACGGAGCGCTCCCGTGCCCACGGTGCTGGCGGTGGCGGGGGAGTCCCGCTGCTTGGGGCGGGAGCATAACTTCGCTGCTGGCACTTCCTGCAACCTGATGTGCTCCCAGGCGCTGGCCTGCCGCCCCGTCCCTCGGGCAGCTCCCGGGAAAGCTAAGAATAGCCGCGCTATGTTTAGAAGCACTCTGGCCTTGGGGATAAGCTCTCCCAGAAGGGATGCCACCTTTGCCCCTCACCGCCCGTGCACGGCTCCCCCTGGACCCTGGCCTGGCCAGCCTCGGAGAGCACATTCTGGGCAAGAGGGACCTTCTGCTGCGTCCTGCCAGGCCGGGGGGTCAGCGGCAGGAGCTGGAAGGGCTGCCCCCGTCTGCAGGCGCTCCTCCAGCTGGGCCGGCCCCAGTTTGCACTGCAGGTGAGGGACTGGAGGGCCGGACGGTGCCGCCCGGGTGCCCAGTCCCGGCCCGGTTTGAAGGGGAGGGTTTTGAGGCGGCCCAGTGGCCTCTCTGGCCCAGGCCTGTCCCCCGTCGTGCGGGGCTTGCCGCAGTCCGTCTTCGGCAGGATGCGGTCTACGCTGTGGGGGCCTGTCCTGCCCCAGCCCGGAGGGGACCTGAAGGGCCTTGCGGGGGCCCCACACCGCAGCCGCGCAGGGCCAGTGGCCCCCCGGCCAGCGTTTCCCCCGCCGTGCGGAGATGCGCTGCGCTTCGATTGCAGCCACGGCCCGTTGTTCCCAGGGTGGCATTTATACGCCTGCGCTCACATGCACAGACGCGGTGCAAACCGGGCTGCTCCTTTGTTCTCCTCGCTGGCCGTGCCTGCGTGCGTCAGCGGGGTGCCGGCCTCACCTCCAGGCAGCCCGTCTTTGCTCCTCGGTCGGGAGCTGAAGCGCATTCCCGCGGCCTTCCCACGCGGTGCTCTTCCCTCGTGGGTTCGGAGGGCGCCGGACCCGGCGGTCAGGGGCCGGTGTCGCAAGGCGGGCCGTCTTGCTGTCTGAGCCGGTCAGCTCGACAGACCTCGGTGAACGGCCCTGGCGCACAGCCTGGGAGCAAACAGGGTTTTCTTCCTTGGTCGCTGGTGGCCGGTTCGTGGCACAGAGGCGTCCCTGGGTCAGCGACAGCCCGCCCGCGGCGGCTGCGAGCCCCTTGCGCGAGAGTCGCCGCGTCGTCCCTCCCGGCTGCCCAGCCCTCACGTTCCAGCCGCACCTGTACGCACAGCGCCCCTGAGTGAGACTGTTCCCGGCCAGCCTGCCTTCAACCCGTAAATTGAAAGAGGGGACCAAGTGCTTGCTTGTTACAGAGTTGTGGTCCAAGGGTTTTCAGCACCCTCAAAACCAAGTATTTAATGTTAGGTGTGATCTGGAAGTTCGGACGTTTTCTTTTTCACAAAACAACCACCACACTCTGGCAGTGCTGGAATGCTTTTTATTTAAAGAGTCATTCGGGATCACTGTGCACACGTATTATGCAGAGAAAGTAGTATTGGCACTAATTAGCAGGCTGGCTTCAAAAAACGCCATTCTAAAATCTCCCCCCGCCCCCACGAATGCTGCGTCGTTGCACTGCTGGGGCCATCTTGGACTACAAACCCCAGCATTCCCAGCCAGCGTGGCTGGGCACGAGCCGAGCGTGGCAGAGCTGTGGGGAACGCCTCGGCCACACGCAGGGCAGGCGCCTGGAGCCAGCGGGCCCCCTTGGAGCAGGGTGCACTCTGCCCCCTGCCCTCCCGGCCGGAGGGGGCTGCCGTGCCCCGCTGCTCCGCCCCGCTCCCGGTCCCGGTCCCGCTGGAGGGCCACGGCCCGCGTCCCCCGCCGAGAGCGCCGGCTGCGTGCGCCGCAGGAGGCCAGTGGAGCCGCCCGAGGGCGTGGGCCGCCGGTCACGCTCCCCTAGCCGGGAACAAGAGCGGGTAAACAGAGGCTTGCTCAACCCGTGCTCCTGACCTGGAACAGGCGTCTCCGCCGAGCCGAGCCGGGCCAGGCGCAGGCCAGTTCGAGCCGTCCTCCGCAGGAAAAGGAGCCGCCGGAGTCTTGCGCTCCTGGCTCAAACATGCCCCCCTCTTGGGTTGGGCCGTGCAAAGTCATCCCGCCAAGAAGATAGCCCCTGAGCATGTGCCAAGCAGTGTCAACTCCGGCCCACACACCGCTGAGCAAACGATGCAGAGGTTTTAACCTTTGCTTGCAGGGAGGGCTCCCAAACCAGAGGTGAGGGGTCCTCCCATCCTGGGACGTTTTGTTTGAGAAAAGGAGCCGAGGGTTTGGTCAGAGTCAGCACGGAGCCCGGCTTCAAATGGCTCAACAGCGACGGGTGTCTTTTCCGCGCTCTCACTTGGTCGGGCAGTGGGGCTTTCAGGTCGGAACGGGCCCCGATCCACCCGGCATTTCTTGCAAGAGGGGTGGGCCACTTTGGCATTCCAGGTGGTCTGGGTGGCCGCTGCCAGGAACCCTTTCGAGGATGGGGGAAGCTGGTTTGTGCTCTGGGCTCTCCCACGTGTGTTTCTGGCCACATTTCGTTCTATAAACATTTCTCCTGCCCTCCTCCAAGTATAAAGGTTGGTATCTATTTATCATTGCACCTTGTCAACAAACCAAGAACTTTGAACCAGGAGTTTTACCTTCTCCACGGCCACACTGATAGCTCTTACCTGTTGGCTCACGCGCACTCGCTGGGTTCAGTCAACACCCTAAGCCTCACCCGCCTCATGCAGCCCACGCTCACCCCGAACCGCGCTGCCAGCTGAACGGCAGCTTGCTGTGCCGTCCGAACCCGGATGAGAACAGCCCGCGGTGAGCAGCCCCCAGCTTGCCGCCCAGGCAACATCTTCAGGTGACCACCCACTCTCAGCCCAGGCCAGGCCTGTGTGGGTCAGCATGCTGGTCGAACCCAGCCAAGCTGGCAAGGGGTGGTTCGTTAATTCACGGACACCCCACAATTTACAGCCCAAGAGCAGTTTGGTGGAGCACAAGACCAGACTCGGGCGATCTGGGTTAGCCAAGGAACCAGCCTGGTGACCCTGGGCTGGACAGGGTCAGCCCGGCCTACTTCGCAGGGTTGTTGTTGTGGGGGTAAGATTGAGAGGAGGATGTTGGAAGTTGCTTTGAGTTCCTTGGAGGGGGAAAGGGAGATTTATATTATATTATATTATATTATATTATATTACGGGGCCAGCGTAGAGCCACAAGGATGACGACCAGATTGCAGGGGATGCCGTACGAGGTGAGACTGAGGGAACTGGGTCTCTTCAGCCTGGAGAAGAGGAGACTCAGAGGGGATCTGTTGGCGACATGCAGGTGTGTGAGGGGGTGTCACACGGAGGTGGGTAGAGACCTGTTCTCCCCTGCAGAGGAAGGCAGGACGCGCTCCAAGGGAGCAAAGCTCAGGGAGCCAAGGTCCAATTTGGATGCCAGGAAGGACTTCCTGACAGTCGGGACCCCGAGGGTGTGGAATGGGCTTCCCCGGGAGGTGGCTGAGGCCCCATCGGTGCGGGTGTTCAAGGACAGGTTGGACATGCACATGGTAGGCGTGTCGTGAGTGGAGCTGGCTGGAGCCGGGGGTCAGACTAGATGGCCCGGGAGGTTCCTTCTGACTTGCTCCGTTTCTATAATGTAATGTAATAGCAGCAAACCATGTGATCTCGTCGTGGGTTGTTTGTAGTTGGCAAGCCATTGCATAGGCTTGCAACTGGGACCAGACCGCGCACGTTCCAGCAGCAGCCCCTGGACCCATGGCAGCCCATGCTCACTGCTTGGGTGTGGGTTACTGCGCAGTCCAGACCCAATCAGTGGGGCCGTGCGGCCTCCCAAATCCAGGAAGCGCTGCTCTGCCTTGCGGTGTCCCGGGACCTTGACCCTGCCTGGGTGGCAGGATTGGCGTATTGGTGGGGAATCTCACCGCTTGGAGCGTGGCAGGGAGAGTGCCAGGGGGTTGCGCCGTGTGTGCGGAAGGGCGCCTGCTGCCTTAGTTCGCAGACATGCGTAGGAGACGCACGTGTCCGAACCGCAGCGCATACGCCTGCTTCCAGCTGCCCTGGAACCGGGAGCAGCCTATGGCCTGCATCGGGCGCGAGTCATCCGACCGGGTCAGCGCACGCTTTCTCTGGGCAACTCACCCCCCGCATCTGGCGTTCCGAGGGACGGCCAGCCCAGCTTGCCGCCTTGGGCCCCCTCCAAAGAAAGGCGCCCCCTCCTCCTCCTCCGCTGGCTTCAGGGCGAGGGCGTGGCTGCCAGCAGCTTCTCTTCTCGTGGGGAAGGCGCTGGGTCGCGAGCCCACGGCCAGGCGAGCTGGCACTGGCGCCGGTGTGGGCCGCCATTTCCCTGCCCCCGTTCCCCCAGGCCCTTGCGCAAGCCCTGTCGTTCAGCGGGGTGGGACGAGGAGGGCGCCCCGGGGGCCTGAGGCGCCCCTTCTCTGCCGGCGGCGTCAGTGCCCCGGCACCTCGCCTTGCTCCGCCTGGCATCAGTCCCGCCTGGAGGAGGCTTCCGTCAGCCCAGCCTTTGGGAGGCTGCAGCATGCCTCCCTCCTCAGGCCCGAGCAGCAGGCCCTTTGTAAGCACTTTCGCCCAGCGACCCTGTGGGAATTCATCTCCCACACAGCCAGGAGGCACCCGCTGGGGGGAGGCCGTGCCGGGGGCTGCTGCGTCCATGCGCCATTTGCTCCCCGTTTCCAGAAGGTGGTCGTGTGGTCATGGCCACTGCGTGCCGTCGCTGCCTCGAACCCGAAGCTCTGGACTCCCCAAGACCCCTTTGGGAAAGGAAAGGAAAAGAAAGGAAAGCCAAGCAAAGCGCCGGCTGAGCAGGAGCGTGCAGCTCGCAAGGCGAAAAACCTGGAGCGGAGCCAGGAGGTGCTCTCCAGCCGAGGAGGAGGGCAATTTGGGCTTGCCAAGCAGCCCCCCGCTCCCCGGAGAACGGCATTCACCAGCTCCCAACCAGCGCCAGTATTCAAGAAGGCCACGTCCAGATGTTTCCTCACACAGAGTTTTATTGGTGGGGTGGGGGAGAATGAAGAAGGAAGGAAATACCGTGTAACTTGGCATGAACACAAAGCAGGGTCCCCGTGGCCACCCGTGTCTGTAACAAAGGTTCCCGCCCCCGCAGCCGTGTGCGCCCTGCCTGGAAGGAGCGTTTGGAGAAGCCCGCCCAGCCGAGGGGGACCCTTCTCCGCCCAAGGGGCAGAGCAGGGCAGGGCAGGCGTGGCATCGGCCCCCTCTGTGTCCCCTGGCGGGGCGAGCGGCTGTGAGCGCCTCCGTGCCCACCGCACCTCGGCCGCCCGCTCTTCACCGTGCCCGGCCGGGACCCGTCCGTGTCGCCAGAAACGCTCCGCTCCGCCCCGCCTGCCCGGGCCTCGGGCTTTCCCTGCGCGGCCAGCCATGCTCTCCCCGCCCGTCCCCTCGCCCTGCGCTCCCTGCGCGCCCTCCGGGCCAAAGGGGAACAGGCCGCTCGCGCTGCCGCAGCCCCACCTCGGAAAGGGGACGGGGAAGGGGGGCCGCATGAGTGAAGGGCGGAGGGGCGGCAGGGGGGCCCCGGGCCCCGCGCACCATGCGCCGTGCACCTGCTGCCCCGCGCCAGCCCAGGCCTTGGGGCGTGGGGATGATGCGCGGGCGGTGAGGCCGGGCTCAGCAGCAGGGTCCCGGAGGCAGGGGGTACCTCAGTTCGAGCGCCAGCGTTACGCATGGGACAGACAGGAAAATGGCGCTGGCGGAGCCCCTTTCCCCCTTAGCTGTGTGGGGTGGAGCCTTGTCCAGGGCCGTACACAAGCCCGGTTCCTGTCGGCTCAGGGTGCGTCTGCAGTTCTTGTTGCCGCTGCCTGCGAGCCCCTCTGCGGACACACCGTGGGGGCAGTCCGTGCCTTTGCGAAGGCAGAGTCACGCGTGTCCCAGCGGGCACACCGAGGTCCGCCCGCTCCCAGTTCAGACGTAGTTTTTCTTGTCATAGCTGGCCATGGTGGACTTGGGTGCCGAGTAGATGGTGTTGGCCGGTCTGTACTTGGCCTCCTTGGGGGGGCAGGAGCAGCAGAGCAAGGACCCGCCGAAGAGGAGGAGGGCTGCGGCGGCCCAGCCGATGTAGAGCGCGGCCCCCAGCTCCCTTTTCAGCGCCTGGGGCACGGCCGTGTTGTAGAAGTCGCGGATGATCTGGTTGGCCGACCAGGAGACGGGGATGAGGGTCATGAAGCCGGCCACCAGGAAGACGACCCCGGAGACGATGGTGACCTTGGACTTGGTGGGCTCCTCCTCGATGCAGCGCGTGCACTGTGCCCCCATCAGGAAGACGAGGACCCCCAGGGCCCCCAGGACGATGGCGATGACCACCAGGGCCCGGGCGGCCTGCAGGTCCTGCGGCAGGGCCAGCATGGAGTCGTAGACCTTGCACTGCATCTGCCCGGTGCTCTGGACCACGCAGTTCATCCACAGCCCCTCCCAGGTGAACTGCGCCGTGACGATGTTGTAGCCGATGAAGGCCGTCACCCGCCACATGGGCAGCCCGCAGCACAGGACGGTGCCCACCCAGCCCAGGAAGGACAGCGCCACGCCACCGATCTCCAGGCCCATCGACATGCTGCCGCCCGCCCGCGCCCGCCCGCCTCCTCGCTTCCTTGTGCACGGCTCTGGGCAGCGTTGCCCAGCTCCTGAGCTCCGGGCTGATTTATAGCCCTCCCCTGGCGGGGCGGGCCGTGCTCGCACAGGCAGGGGTGGGGCGCCACGGTGGACTCTCAGCCTGCCCTTCCCCGCACTCATCCTCGGCTGTCTGTTTGTGGAGATGCCAATCGCCAGGGCTGGCGTCTCGGGCGGGCGGGCGGGCGGCTGGAGGCAGGCTGGGTTCCACGGCTGTTTGCCGTGCCGCTCGGCCGCACAAGCGGGGCTGGCAAGACCGGTCAGGGCCGAAGGCAGGAGGAAGTCCCCGGAGAGCGGGCCATGCCCGGGCCTCCTTGGCGGGACCTCGGCCACAGCGCCGCTGCCGGGCTGGGCTCGCGCCAGGGGCTGCATGACGGCAGGAGCTCGTGGGCAAGGCGGCTTCTGCTCTCCTTCCGTGTGCCCCCCGTGCTGGCACAGGCAGTGGAGGTGAGGAAGAGGAGGAGCGGCAGCCGTGGCGAGCAGCCCACCTGGGGGGCTTCTGCCCGCTAAGCGAGCAAACACTCGCAGCGAGGATGCGGAAGGGGGAGACGCGCAGGAGCAGCAGAGGAGCGGTAGCGGCCGCTGGCGGGAGGGCCGGGGTGGCCGAAGCACCCTCGTCCCCAGGCAGCGCGCTGGGGGACTGGGGAAGGGCTGGGGCCCAGGACGCCGGTCAAGCGGCGCCTCCGCCAGAGCGAGCTTCTCCCGGGCCGGCCAAGCTGCGGCACGTGCCAGCATCCGGGACTGGCGCCGAGGGCCACATGGCTGGGCAGCCCCGGGGTCCCTTCCCTGGAGGATCCCGGGGCAGGCGGTTGCCTCTCCATCCCCGGCTGCTGCCCCGGGGAGCGGCGAGAGGAGCAGCGGGGATGCCGCAGCCTTCTTGCTCCCGGCCTCTCTGCCCGCCAGGCAGGCAAGCAGGAAGTGGGTGAGCAGCGAGAGCAGCTGGGGGCCCAGGCGGCAGGAGCACTGGCGCCCGGTTGGAGGGGCCATGCCCAGGACCCCGAAGGTGCTCCTGGTTCTGAGCCCACTGCACGAAGTCTGCCGCTGAGGCCTCCGCAAGCCTGGGAGCCCCGAGGCCGGCTTCAGTCCGGGCCCACCATGTCCAGCCCTTTGCTCACACGGTGGCCGGCCAGAGGCCAGATCACCTCCCCTCCCCGGAGGATCCGGATCCCACGCTGGGCATGGGCGCACCCGCACCCCCAGGCATGTTCCTCAGCGGGGAATGAACCCCTGCAGGCACGCAGCTCCTGATCCCAGCCAGGGCACGGAACCACCGGAGCTGGGGAAAGGTGGACTTCCCGGGAGGGAGGGAGCGAGCGTGCTGGTTGCTCAGGAGATTCTTGCCTTAGGATCGGATGGAGGCAGCTTTCTCGGAGTCCTGGAGCGGGGGCGGCGCGCTGGCCCCACCGCGGCGTGTGCTGCCCAGAGGCAATTGAAGCATTGCTGCAGCCGCGTGGAAGCGTCCGCCCGAGCGCCCCCCAGCCTCCGCTTCCCCGGGATGCGTCTGTGGGGCAGGCCTCGCCTCGCGGCCTCCACAGGGCCAGGAAGCGGCAAGCACCACCGGAGCCCGCTGCTGTGCCGCACCGAGGCCGGACGCCTCTCCGGCGCAGCGGAAGTGGGAGGCGGGCAAGGTCTCCGCTTCCACGGCTGCCTTCCGAAAAGCCTTTTCTCGGGCGCAGAGCGGTCGTCCGGCTCAGCAGGGCCAGCCCAAGAAGCTTGGCAGCCCGAGGCAAAGGACGGGCCCCAATCCACCCAGCGTGGCATGGGACTGGCCCCCCGATCACTTTTTGACACCGGCCGTGGGGCCACACGCTCCTGAGGGCCGTGGGCTAGCTTAGGGGCAGCAGGGCGGGCAGTGGGGCCCACGCAGCTCTCTCCCCTGCTCCCCGGAAGTGACCACTTGCCACGGCCTGCCCGAGCCCCCTCTCCTTGACTCCTGCTTGGGGCAGGGCACAGCCTGTGGCCCGAGGACACGTGTGGCCCCCAAAATCTCCCCCAGGGCACTTGCCCCCCTGCTCTGCCTGCCCCAGAGGGGCCCTCGCGCCGCCCCCTCCCCTCCCTGCTGCTGCTGCTGCTGCTGCGAAGAGGGAGGGAAAGACTGTCGCACCCCAGTTGTGCGCATGTGTGTGCCCCCCTGTGCCCACGGGGGCACACGTGCTCGTGGGCCTCGGCTGAAGCAACCTGCTCCCCCTGTGTGAGCCACAAGCCGTCTGGACTGCCGGGGCGGCCGGGGGGCCTTCCGCAGGCCCCCCGAGTCGTGCCATGGGCAAGGGTCCACGGCGGCATCGTGCTTCCTCGGCTGTCCTTGCTCTTCGGGACTCCGGGGCCCGCCAGCAATTCTGGCCGCACCTGGAGCGTCCTGCCTCCTTTCCTTCCCACCCCCCACGCCGAGTGGTTTTTCAGTTGGCTCTCTATGAAATCCGCGAGGGAGGGAGGGCGGCCCCGCCGTGCACTTCCTCATTTCTGGGGCGTGAGAGCAGCCGCGCTCGGTGCCTTTTGAGGCTCGGGTTTCTTCTGGGCCTGGCGGGATCCTGCCACTTCCTGGCCCTGAGCCCGTGATTGCAAATAACGCAGCCGCGGTTTCAGCTGCCAGTGCGCTTGGGAGCATTTGCGCCACGCCGCTCCTGAGCGCTGGGCAGACGGGGCTGCCAGCTGGGCCCGCGCTGCCGATTCCGGCGCGGGTCCCGGCACAGGTTCTGTGCTCGATGCCAGTTCTGCCCCCGGAACAGCCCCTCTTCCCCGTCCTCTGCCCCCCGTGTGGGGGGCCGACCCACCCGAGCACCCCTGCCGCACTTCGCAGCAGGCTGGGCCTGGGGGGCGCAGGCTCCCTGAGCCCCACCGCAATCCTGCGAGGTGCGCCAGGCTGCCGGACCGCGATGGGTCTCTGCGGCTGCGTGGGCATTTGAGCCCGGCCTCCTTCCGCGGCTCCGCAGGGACTGGCTTCCCGCCCACCAGCCCTCGCGCTTGGGCTGGCTGAGGGGCCGAACGGCGAGGTGCTCCTGCCCAGCGACCCCCCGGCTCGCCCGGCTGCCACCCGCAGTGCTGATGAACCCGGCTGCGGTTCAGGAACAACGGACACCCTTCCCTGAAGGAAGGCAATGCGTGTGGGGCGACCCGCCAGCGGCATTCGTGCCCCGGATCTCCAAGGGGAGAGGCTGTGGCGACGGAGCCTGGAGAATCAGGTGGACTCCTGCAAGGAGGCCGCATGCCTCCCTGGAGAGGCTTCCTGACAGTCGGGACCCCGAGGGTGTGGAACGGGCTTCCACGGGAGGTGGCTGAGGGTGTTCAAGGATAGGCTGGACGTCCACATGGTGGGCATGTCGTGAGTGGAGCCGGCTGGTGCTGGGGGTCAGACTGGATGGCCCGGGAGGCCCCTTCTGACTCGCTCTGTTTCTGTGTTTCCTCTCTGGCATCCCAAGGGGGCCTCGCCGGGGCTCCCAGACAGCTGTGCGACACACCAGAAGCCCTCCTCAGTCACCCAGGGAGGGGGCCGAGGGGAGATGCGTCCGGAAGGCCGCTTGCCAGGGAAGGCTGCAGGCCCGATGCGCCCTCAGGGTGGCTCCCCCGCCACGCCCACATGCGCGCACACGCGATCCCCCCTCCGAGCCACGCCTGCTGCGGACCACCGTGGGTGCGCAGAGCCTTGCCCCCCGCCTTCCCTGGCCACCTGCCCAGCCCTCCACCTGCGGAGGCTGTCCTGCCACTCCAGGGGTGCCCAGAGACCCCTGCCAGCCAGCCAGCTGGCCCCCGCCCCCCCCACCATGGCCGAGGAAGCGCGGCAGGCGAGTGTGTGCGCCCCCCTGGCACGGGCCCATCTCAAGTTCCCAAACTGGGCTCGCCGGGCCGAAGCCGGCTGGCGGTCTGCCCACGCCTCGCTGCCAGAGGACCCGATGGGGCGCCCCCGCCCAGCCAGGCCCTTTGGGTCCGGGTGCCCCCCGCCTCCCGACGAAAGGCCCTCGCTCAGCCGGGCCGCTCTGCCCGCGCGGGGTCCCTCTGCCACGCATCAGGAGCCGTGAGCCAGGCCCGGAGTGCGTCAGGCGCCCCCAAGGCGGGCGCGGGGCCCTCGTGCCGGCAGAAGCAGCCCGGCAAGCCGGAGTCCGGCATTTCGACGGGGGGCGCAGGGCGGGGGGCTGGGTGACTTGGGCCACTCGTGGGCGCCTGGCCGGACGTCCCTCGCAGGGCTGTTCTGAGGAGAGAGGAGAGGGGAGGGGAGCATGGGAGCCATCCCAGGTTTCTTGCAGGAAAGAGAAGGGGATGATGGTGATGCTACTTCGCAAGAGTCAACGGGGCAGTGGCTGGGGAAGGGACCCCCGGAGGGCTGGCTGGGTCCTCCGCGAGGAAGCCGTGGTGGCTCTGCGCCCCCTCCCTCGCAGATCTCCTCCCGGCTGCCCCGGACCCCCGCCCCCCACGGCCTTCCCCTGTCTGCGCTGCATGTGCGAAGTGGGGGGACAGGCCCCAGATGCCCGCCACCGTCCTGCTGTGCGTGGCAGCGGGAGGGAGGGAGGGAGGGAAAGCAAGCGCTTCTTGCTGCCACCCCGGCGCATGAAGGGAGGCCTCCGCATGCCTCCTTTCGCAGCGCTTCCCTTCCCGTGGGGATTCTGCGGGCATATGAGGCTTTAACTTTCGAGCTGCTGGGAAAACACCTAAGTGCCCGTGCTCGAAGCGCGTGAGTCAGCGGGTGAGTCAGCTGATTACTGGCCCCATGGTTATCTCTCTGGGAGAATCTCAGTGTAAACATGAAACTTAGTTTCTTGGCAATACATCATTTATACACACACACAGATTCTGTTGGCGTGAGACTGACCCTTTGGCATCTCGTTAAGTTTTTCACAAGCCACCGTGGCTGCCACCAGCCTTCCTGGCCCTGAGCTCCGTGGGAGGGAGCGGGGCCCCGGTGGTGTAGCGGTGCCAGGGCTCACAGGGGCGCCGCACAGGGACTCCTCGCTGAGGCCGGCTGCCGTCTCCCTCGACATCCAGACTCCCGCTTTGCTTACCTGCGCCCACCGTCTTGCAAGCCGTTTCAGAGCAGCTTGGCCTCCCCATGGGAGGGAGGTGCTCATCCTCAGCCCGAGGGCAGGTCCCGGAGGAGAGGAGGGCGGCCGGGAGCGGTTTGCGGCTGTGGCTGCACGGAGCTGCCGGCATGTCTGGACTCTCCGGGGGGTGGCCGGGGGGGGGGGGCCAGAATGGGCCTGGGGCCACCGTCTGCCGCCAGGGCAGTGTTTGTGGGCAGCCCGCTAGGACAGGGGCCATGAGTCTGTCAGAGAGTGGATCTCTGGGGTGGGGCGCGGCTGGTGCTCGGAAGGGGGACTGCGGACCTGCACTGAGCCGGGGGCTGGGCCTGAGGGCCTTCTAGCTGCGGCCCCCCCTCCTGGTGCCGCCTCCCTCGCCGCCTCTTCCGCCCCATCAGTGAGAGTGTTCAAGAACAGGCTGGACATGCACAGGGTGGGCATGTCGTGAGCGGAGCCGGCTGGTGCCGGGGGTCAGACTAGATGGCCCCGGAGGCCCCTTCCGCCTCGCTCTGTTTCTCTGCTTCTGTGGCTCCCCTTCCCCTGCTCACAGAGCTCCTCCCACCGGAGGGGCATCCTTTGGAGACGGGCTCCGTCGCACCCTCTCTTGTGCGCACGGGCCAGGGCCGTGCAATCCGTGCTTGCCCATTGGCCTGTGGGCCCCGGCACCAGCCCCTCCATGCCCACCCCCAGAAAATGGTGTGCGCTTCAGAAAAGGCCAATGGGCGCGGCTGCAGGGAGAGGAACTTGCCCGAGCAGCCGACTGCGTGGCAGGGACGGGATCTGGACACCCCAAAAGCAAGCCCTAGCTTTCTAGGTTGCCCCCGTTTTCTGCCCCCACAACAACAAGGGTGCTCTCCCCCCCTCCCCCCTTCTCCCTCCTCTGCCAACCAACTGACCCCTTCTCTGCAATCTTTCAGCACACCTGAAAGTCAACCAAGAGGTGGCACCTCCGAAGAAACTAGCTGCCACTTGGCAGATTAGGACCTTGCAGGACAGGGGGCCAGAACGCCCATGGTCCACGTCTGGCCACCCGGTGTGGCTTCCCAGGGCTTCCCAGTGACCACACGCCTTCCCCCCGACCACCAGCGGCAGGATGGCTTCCTGGCATGTGTGCCATTTACCCCACTGGAAAAGGTCAGACACTCCAGCTTGGCATGTTTCTCTAAAATGCACCGGCCCGTGGGGTGTTTTGCACCACCTGTTTGGTCCCAAGCCCAACCACCACCAGAAGGCGGCCCCAAGGGCTTCTGCGAGGGGGAAACCGGCAGGTGGGCCCAGCGGCCTCGTCCCGGGGCGGGCAGCTGTGGTGAAGGCAAATGCTGAACTGGTGGGTCCGTGGCACCAAGCCAGACAAGGGTCCCGAGGCGGACTCCTCCACTGGGACGCCACCTGCAGACTTCTGCAAGAAGAGGATCTGTGACCTTCCGGACAAGGGCAGCAATGGAACCTGAGACCTGGGGAGGTGCGGGCCTCTCCCACGCTGGAGGCGTTCGGGAGGCAACTGGCCGGCCATCTGAGGGGGTGGTGCTTCAGTGTGGAGTCCCATGTGGAGCAGGGTGGGACCCCTCTGGCTCCTTCCAACTCTACAGTTCTATGATTCCATAACCAGTTTGTGAATCTGCAAAATCAACCAGCCAACCAACCAACCAATCAAAATACAATGTCTCAAGATACTTCCATACTAACAACTGCTGTTCTTTCATCAGACACCTTTTAGAATGCCGAAGCTGTCACTGGGGGCATCCTATTGCAATCATAGACCGCAGAAACAGAGCGAGCCAGAAGGGGCCTCCCCGGCCATCTAGTCTGACCCCCGGCTCCAGCCGGCTCCACTCACGACATGCCCGCCATGTGCCTGTCCAGCCTATCTTTGAACACCCGCACCGATGGGGCCTCATGGGGCGTGCCTGCTCCGAAGTCGGCCACGGCGCTTAAGAGGGCCCACGCCCAAGCGTGTGGGCACAAGACCCCCACTCGGATGGCCAGATGTGCAAACTGCACCAGCCCTCGTGAGTGGCGGCACTCCCACGTGCAAAGGCCGAGCTCCCAGCAGCGCACACCAGCCCCCCCCATGAGCCACATTCCTCTGCTTGCAATCGCACTCCCCCCCAATGTGTGAATCACTCCCCTCTTGGTCCTGCTCCGGAGAAATTACCCATTTGGGCACACTTATGCCTCACACGCGTGTGTCCTGCCTCCTCACCATTTTGCACCCCCTTCAGCCTCGGAGAGCAGACTGGCCTCTTGTGCCGCCTGTCTGCTGCTGGTGCCTCAGGCTGGCCACTGGGTAATTTAATCCATTGAATTAAAGTATTTTTATGACACTTCTTTGCAAAAGAGAAGTCTCCCAAAACAGCTCCTGCACAGTCAGTAAAAGCAAGACAATCCCTCCCTAGGCATGACCCAAGGAAGGGGGATGTGGAAGGAAAAGAGGGAAAGTGTTCCCGCGCGCCAGCCGAGTGGCTGGTTTCCCCCGTGCCATGCCGCTGTAAAGAACAGGAAAGCGCGCTCGCTCCCCGGGAAGAGGCCATCCAGCACCGGTAAGCAGAGATGCTCACGGTGCAGGTTTCTCACTCCGCAGGACTTTCCTGTAACTCTGCTGCCCAAACCGGTTTGGTGCTCGCAGTGGCAGGGTGGGGGCCCCTCCAGACGAAGCGCACGCCTGCAGTGGCCGCGTGGGCCGGCGCGCCACGAGCGGAGCTGCTCTGGGGGAACCGGGGCGGGTGCGAAAGACGGGAGTATCTCTGGGCAGAGGAGCACTGCAACCGGGGGGCTGGACGGGTGCCCTTTTCTCATGGCAACCGACCCCCTGGCCCAGGGCCTGCTGCTGGAGCTCGTGCAGTCGCGGCCAGCAGCAGGAGGGAGTCCCGAATGGCACTCGTCTCCCAGTTACCGTCAACCAAAGCAGCTCGATGGATCCTCCATGTGCAGGAGCAGCATACCCTGCAGGTTGCCTGTGTGCCACAAGCAAGCTTCCCTGGAGTGCCCGGCTGGCCACTGCTGGAAGCAGGATGCAGGCAGCATCATAGCGCCACGGCCGACAAGGCCCCAGGCCTGGCTGGCACTGCCAGTGAGGAGGGGAGGGTTGCTGGCTCAGGCACCCTGAGGGCTGCGAGCTGCCCACCCACCCAAGTCGTGGCTCTGCCCTGGGAAGTCCGCCAAGGGACCTCTCTGCTGCTCAGGCCCGGCCTGGCCCGCCCTGCACCCCTTTTGGGACTTGCCCCAGGAGAAAGCATCAGTGATGCTCTTTCCTCTGCTGGGAGGCCGGCACCGCCGTGGGGAGACACAGATCCCAGGCGTGCAGGTGCAGAGGAATCTGGGGGAACTGGTTTGAGTCCCGCGTCTGTGCAGACTGGACGGAGTTGGGGAAACTCCACCCATCCGCACCGCCTGTAATCTTCCCCACTTGCCACCGGCAGCCAGCAGTGCGGCCCCGTCTGTCTCCGGCAGCTGCAGCACTCCCCGCGCTCCGGCTGGGCCGCGGCAGGCGACCGCCATGGCCTCCATGGGGATGCAGGTGCTGGGCATCGCCCTCTCGGTGCTGGGCTGGCTGGGCACCATCCTGTGCTGCGGGCTGCCCATGTGGCGGGTGACGGCCTTCATCGGCAACAACATCGTGGTGGCCCAAATCATCTGGGAGGGGCTGTGGATGAACTGCGTGGTCCAGAGCACCGGGCAGATGCAGTGCAAGGTCTACGAGTCCATGCTGGCCCTGCCGCAGGACATGCAGGCCGCCCGGGCCATGGTCATCATCGCCATCCTGCTGGCGGTGGCGGGCCTCTTCTTCGCCATCCTGGGGGGCAAGTGCACCAACTGCGTGGAGGACGAGGGCCCCAAGGCCCGGATCGTGGTGGCGGCCGGCGCCGTCTTCATCCTCTCCGGCCTCCTGCTCCTCATCCCGCTGTGCTGGACGGCCAACAACATCATCCGCGACTTCTACAACCCCATGATCACCGAGAGCCAGAAGCGGGAGTTCGGTCCCTCGCTCTACATCGGCTGGGCCTCCTGCGGGCTGCTGCTCCTCGGGGGAGGGCTGCTGTGCTGCAACTGCCCCCCCAGAAGCGAGAAGCCGTACTCGGCAAAATACACGGCCACCCGCTCGGTTCCAGCCAGCAACTACGTCTGAGAACTGCCCCTCCCTGGCTTGTGCCTGGAGGGGGAGCCGAGGGGCAGAGGCGATCTGCCTGGGGAGAGACTGTCCGCGCTGGCTGTGGATTCCATGGTGAGCCCCCGCCTGAGCCCCCGCTTTACAAATTCACCTGGACTCCAGAGCAGCCGGGAACGCCTCGTGCCGCCCGCCTTGCATGCTGCCCCTGCAGAATCTCGAACCTCAAAGTGCCGGACTTGGTGGACCCCGAGTTTGCGGAGTGTGGGCTTCTTGCTTGGCGCCTGCTCCACAGCCTCCCAGGAAAGCCGTCCCTTGGCATCCCTGCTGAGCCAGGCTGAAGAATTCCAGTGGGGCAGGAGTCTCCCTGGGCCTGGGTCCAAGCGAGAGCCCCGCGCTGAGGCCAGCAACGGTGGTTTGTTTTGGGGTGCACGTGGGTTGTGCCATGGGGCTTGGGAGCCATTTCGTATGGCTGGAATACGGAATGTGGGAGCCATTTCGTACGGCTGGAGCCTGCAGAGAGGCCTCTGCAGGCGTGTGGTGGTGGAAGGGAGTGAACTGGGAGCTTCGAGGCGCCTGCCTTGGCGCTGTGGCCCTCGCAGCAGGCTGAGTCCCCGGGGTCTCTGGGGTCCCTGTCTGGCTGCCCTTCTGGCTGATGATAGTGCGGGGGAGGGTCCTCCGCCCATTTCTCTGCATTCCCTTGGCGTGTGCCGTGGGACTCGGAATGGTGCCTCTTCCCCCTTGAAGCATCTCCCCAGCAAGTCTGGCCACGCAGAGCAAGCGTCTCTGTGTGCACCAGCTGCTTGCTGGAAAGAGCATGGGCTTCCGGACGGGCAGCGGGTGGGAAGTGCAGCTGCGATGGATGCTCTGCTCCTGAAGCGAAGGGGTGCGGCTCTCCGCTGGCCACCGGGCCCCTGCGCCGCACGCACGGGAGTGGGAATTCAGGTTGTCCTGGCTCTCCAGCCCCAGGGCGGGAACTCGCATTGGGCAATCGGAAGAGACAGCAGAAGAACCTGAACAGAAGGGAGGCGCCTCCCGGCTTCGCGTCTCTGGAGGCCTGGGACCTCTGCACCCAGCACAGCTTTTCACAACCTCTGGATGCATTATTCATATCTGGGCTTGCTCTGTGTATTTCTGGGCATATGCAAAGTGTCTTTCCCCTAGCACCGAATGAGGTATGTCCGGGTTTGGAGATGAGGCAGGTCTTTGTTATTATCCGTGATTATGTAGTCTTTCAGAGCCAAACGTCCTCAAAAGGGGCCTTTCCTGAGGGTTCCAAGCAGGGCCGTCTGAACAGCATGATAGGCCCGGGCCCGGGCAAAGCGGTGCGCTGGGGCCCCATGACAACAACAACTACTGTTAACTTTGGAAGTTTCCCCATTTTCCAAGGGTTAACATACACAGATTAGTATGGGGCCCACAGGCAAGGGCCCATCAGGCCCATGCGTTCAGATGGCCCTGGATCCAAGGCAGATGGGACTTCGTGCCTCTCCCACTGGGCAGCCCTGCTCACGCACCCCGGGATGCCCCTCAGCCCGTCCCCTCCAGCTTGCAGGCCTGTTTTCTGCGTCCACAGAGCTGCGCTTCCCGCCTTCTGCATTTCTCCTTTGTGCTTCCACACGTGCCGCTCTCTGTCCCTAAACCTCTTTGTGGATAAGGAAGGACGGCCCGAGTCGGACTCAGCCAGGATCCCAAACTCAAGCCACGGCCCTCCTTCCCCTCCAGCGCGAGCCTTTGGGCTTTCCCGCTGTGGCGCACCCCTTCCCCAATCCTGACGCGTCCAGAAGCCCCCCAGCGTCTTAGTCGCGTATGAGACCTGCTTGGCGTCAGAAGCAGGACAGGGACTTGGCACTCGCTGTGCGCCCCCCTGGCCTATTCTGCGCGCCCCCGGAACGCGCCCACGGGAATGTCCGCGGAGCTGGATGCGTTGCTCGGCCCACAAGAGGTGGGACGCCGTTGCAAGTAACCCTTCGATGAACGCCAACCCTGCGGTGAGTCTGCGTCTCTGTGGGTGGCGCGCCCTGCCCGGGTTCTGCGTGGATGCTGTGCGAGGCCAGCCGGCGTGGCCTTTGGGTCCTGTTGTGCCCGCAGCAGGCAAACCGCTCCCCCCGGGCTCGGTCTTTTGGGGGGTCCCTCCAGGGTGCTGCATTGCCATGGCACCAGACACTTGCGGGCAGGCGGGCGGGCGGGCCGCTCGGTTGGACGTCCTGCATCCCTGCCCGCGTCCTCCTCCTCGGGCTGGGCCGTCAGCGCCACTGAGACCCCCCATGGGATGGAAAGGGGGCTGTCGACACGTGAAGCCCCCTCGTGCCCGCTGGTGAGCTCTGCCGGGCTGCGCCCCTTTGGCAGGCCGATTCCCAGTGGGAGAAGCGGCAGAGCAGAGGGGCCGGGGCAGGGACACCCCCCGCCGCCCTGGCCCCCAGTCGCCTGCCCTCTGAGGCAGAAGGCGCTTGCATGTGCAGCTGCCGCGAGCGAGCTGGCCACGCGGGCTGCCGGCGGGCCTGCCTTCCCCTCCGTGGCGGGGAGAGAAGCGCCAGCCGGCGGCACAGGTGGAGGCACCTGCACAGCCATGGCAGATGGTGTGCCCCCTCCCCAGGCGTCGTCTGGGGGGCCGCGTGGTGGGTGGCTGGTCTGAGCAGGCAGAGCAGGGCTCCCGGCCGCGGGCCTTGCAGTTGCCCTGCAGGACGAACGGAGACCGAGCGGGGGCCGCCCGGCTAGCCCCGTGGCAGTGGCTTGGCCGGGGAAGGGGGTCTCTCCCGCCTCGCCCAGGGCAGGATGCTGCGGCTCGTCGAGGACGCCGGGCTCCGCTGTGCCCGTCGGCACCTCGCTACCTGCGCCCAAGCACCTGCAGCCCCCGCCGCCCCCCCCACATGCCCCATAGCCAGGCCACGCCTTCTCCTGGGTGCTCTGTGCGCCCCAAAAGGAGGTCTAGAGCCCAGAGAGCGTATGCCCAAGCAAGGATTGTGAGGCTTCTCTGGCGAGGACCAAAATCCCTTTGGGAGGCGGTTCCCAGGGATCTGTTCCTTCCGCCCACACGTGGCCCCCAGCCCAGGGCAGCAGCTTCCACTGGCAGTGCCCCGCCCCATGTGGGGGGCCGATCACACCAGCGGAGCCGGCTGGTGCCGGAGGTCAGACTAGACAGCCCAGGAGGCCCCTTCTGACTCGCTCTGTTTCTGTGTTTTCCGGACTGTCCTGCACCGTGCGCCTCCCCACACGGCAGTCAGAAGCCCAGAAGAGCTGAGGCCGGAGAGGGGACACGAGCCTTGGGCCTGCTGGTGACCCCGGTATCTGGTGCTCCGAGCTCTACCGTTTGGCTGCTCTGGGGGGTCTGCCCCGCATCTGTGGGGGTGCCGCTCAGCTGGCATGTCGCGATGCGGTGCCGCCCTCCAACGGCCCTGAGCTACCAGTGCAGCCCTGGTTTCCGATCCCCAAATTGTGGCCGGATGCAGCAGGAAGGATTCCCTGGCCTTGTTGGAAGCCATGAAGATAACTGGCCGGTTATAGCTGAGCACCCGGAAAACGCACACGCTTCCGCCAAGGGGCACGGAGGCAGCACCCGCAGCACTTCGCATCCCGGCAGGAATCGCTGTCCACCCCGCAGCCTTGGGTGTGCCCTCCCTGCCGGGCAGGTTGCACTGCACACCCCAGAAACTTGGGGACACTCCCCAGAGAAGCTCAGCCAAAGCAAATCTGCTGCTCACTGGCGGGGGGGGGGGGCATAGAGGGGTGTGGAGACCTCTGCTTGGCTCAGGAGCAAATGTGCATGAAGTGAGGCCAGCAGGCCCCCCCTCCCCCCATGGCCACCCTGGCCCCTGGCGTGAATGGGCTCCGGGTGTTTCAGGGGCAGCACCTCAGGACGCAGATGAGGAGCAGGGGGACGGGGATCCCGCAGCCCAAGGTGGGCCGGCTGCCTCCACTCCTCTGTAGCTCCTCACTCTCCCCACAACGACCACCCTGTGGGGTAGGCAGCTTGGGCTGAGGGGGGGCGACTGGCCCGGTCTCCCCGTGTGCTCCATGGCCCAACCTACCTGACAGGGTTGCTGTTGTGGGGAGACAGTGGAGAAGACGGCGGCCACAGAAGCCATCTCAGCTGCTGGGAGGAGGAAAGTTGGGGCATCCGTGCCAGGATGCGTATATGAATAGCTGGAGTTGCACCTCGAATTTAAGTGGACCCTCAACTTGTGCGAGGCGATTCCTCCCTCCCCGAGAGGAAGCCCGCTCTGTCCTGCTTCCCGGCCCGGTGGGGTGTCATGGCCCCGGCCCCGGTGCTGTCCGGCCCGGGGGCCCTCCTGGCCTGTGCCCGGAGGGTGCGGCGGGCGATGGCCTCCACCGGCCCCAGCGCCATCGCGGCCCAGGGCTCCTGGGAGGAGCTGTGGGTGGACGTCCACAAGAGCACCAGCCAGCGCAAGGCCTGCCACTCGCCACCCGGGCCCCGGGGGGCTCTGCCGCCACCCCCCTCCCGGCCCTTCTCCTTGGCATTGCCAGAGGCACGCACACCCGCTGCGTGGCGGGTCAGGGCGCCCGGGCCTTGGCACTGGCTGGGGCAGGATCCACCTTGGCCAGGCTGGCCCTCCTCGTCCCCATCTCCCCGCCAGCCAGCAGCCTTCTCCGACCCGCTGGTCCAGAGGCCCTCGGGTGCGATCGGGGCACTGCGCCCTGTGCAGGCTGGGCAGCCAGCGCCTTTGCGGTGCTGCGGGCAGCGCTGTGCGCCTCTTTCCCGCAGAGGGAGGCTGCCGAGCCCGACCCACGCGATGCAAGCGGCCCACTTTGGGCAGCCTTGCCTGCAGCCCAGCGCCTGGGAGAGGCGATGCAGGTGCGAGGCACCTCTCCTTCCATGCACAGCCCTGCCCTGCCCTGCCCTGCCCTGCCCTGCCCTGGCAACATCCCACGTGGGTTTCTTCTGGGAGAGGCACAGTTAGGACTTTGGGGCCGTGGTCTAAAGCAGCACCCACAAAACGAGCATGAACCCCCTTCCGCAGCCGGAGCAACCTGGAGCACATCAACATTCCAAAAATCCCAGT